CGATCGTTAGAACCAACCCATGTCCTCCAGCTTTCAATTCGGACTACACCGGGAATTATCAACCCAGTTTGCCTGGCCACTCGATTCAAGTATATGGTTTCTTCGATTAAACAATGGGTCACACAATGGGCTTGTCTTCTATACTTTCAGCCCACCATTGCAAGACACCAAAATTAGTAAAAGCCCAATGCACTCCACTATCTATCTAATGATTGTAGTCATTGAATGGTTTCCGATTCTCGGCATCGAATACACTTCACCATCAATCAAATGGTCAAAATGTGTTAATGTTTTGTTTGATACGATAGAAATATAGAATAATAGGAAGTTAGAAAGATAAATAAAATATCATGTTTAGTAAAAAAATAAAATAAAAAAAAATAAAAAAATTGGTAGATTATTATTTTATTTTATTTTTTAATTATTATTTTTTTTTTGGGAGGGAAGGGGGAAGGGGGACTTAAACCCTTGACCTCAAGAAAACAAAGCTTTTACAAGACAAGGAGTACCATTGGACCAAAGGACCATTGGTAAAAAAAAATAAAAATTTGATAGATTAGCTTTTCTTCTAACTTATTAAAATTAACCCCTCCAAAATTGAGAGAAAAAATGAATAAAAAGTTAATTATGTGTGTTGAAATGTATGTTATTTGTCTATATCATTTGATATATATATATATACCAGTCATAACCCGTGCATGAAGGCACGATAAAATATAAAATTCGAACGTTTAAAAAATCGATTCTATTATATTAATTATTTTTAAAAATATTAACTATAAATTAATCAAATATTAAATGATTAAATATATGATAGAAATGAGTGATGTGATGTTTTTAGGGAAGAAATATATAAATGATTAAACATATGACAAAAATAAGTGATGCGATAAGACGTTTGAGTCTGACAAAGGGATGATGAATGAGGTAAGTGATTGGTGATGGTTTTGAGGGGAAAAATATGACTGGGATAAAATTCAAACACATTCTTGTTTTATTATATATATATATATATATTATATTTATCAATGATATATTATGTATACATTAATTTCATATATAAATATAATGATAAAATATATATTTATACTTGTTTCAAAAAAATATATATATATTTTTTCTATTTTATCAAACAGAAAAAAATTATGTTTACATACTTTTCATCATTCTTATCAATCACAAATGAGTGAAAGAATTATTTTTCTTTTGAAGGATTCCTCCTAGTTTTTATTCTTTCATTTTCCTATCTACCCTATTAAATAGACCATAAGCCTAAATTATGTCCCAATAATATTAGTGAAACTGTGAAAGCGTTATTAACCCATAGCAGTCATTTTTGTAAAAAAAAAAAAAAAGAATTAAATAAAAAGTAATGGACACAAATTTTCTTCAAAAGGCTAAAAAAGATCCATAAAAAATTTATAACATTTTTTTGGGTAAAATTGTAATTTTCTTTTAGTCAAAATAAAACTGTTGCCAAATGTTGGTCCAAAAACATTATGGTAAATTTGGTACCATGGCTACTGTACTCTATATTATATATGTCACTGTATGTATGTGGGTGGGTCTTCGAATTTGTCCAATGTCTTTAAAATGTGCGGATGTGGGTGACGGACTGGTCTTCCTGCTCCTCCTCCTCCTCCCTTTAATTCCAATAAAATGAAACAATCAGTACTATAAAAAGATTGTGACGGATCATAAAATTGTGTGGATATTATTTAATTCTACCAGCAAACATCTTTTTATGTTTGTTGGCAAAGGCACTGATGCATTGCCCCGCCCCTGAACCTGTCCCATAAGGTTCCTCAATGTACTAGAGTCGATGCTAGAAACATACATAAAAAAGAATGGTCCACGAACGTGGTGGATTTTTTGGATGGTTAGGGAAACCCAAGCTCCTCTGATGTATATGAAAAATCATAAAAATAATGGTCCTGATACATTTTAGAGTTCATCTAATGATTAATATTAAGATATTAAATTTAATAAGAAAAATAAGGCCCTAATGGTGTGTTTTAAGTGATTTTTTAAAAGTATTTTTAGAAATTATTTCTCATAAGTATTTTAAAAAAAAATAATGTTTGAAATCGTCTTACCATTATCTCTACCACCACTACTACTACTACTGTCATCACTATCGCCATCGCCACCACCACCACTGCTGTTACAATCATTGCTACCTACCACAACCATTACAGTCTCTTACCACCACTACTGTCGTCCACCACCTCTCACTCTCATTATAATCGATGTTTAAATTCATTTATCTCTCTTCTATGTTTGTGATTTAATTTTAGATATAAATATAAATATATTTATTATTTACTATTTTTTATTACTTTGTACCTTCAGACACTGAGAATAATTAGTAATCTATAAAGAATATGTCGCATCAATTAATTATGGATGATTAGATTGTTCGTATTTAATTTAGATATATTAGATCTAGAGATTTACTCTATTGGAATTGTTGAATTAGATAAAAATTTCATCTAACATTAAAACTCATGATTAATCTAAAAATTACAATAAATTATGTTTATGTCTTACAAAAAAAAAACTAAAAGAAATATGATGAAAAACGAAAACAAATCTCTATGAAATTTAAAACTCCTGAATTTAACTCGGTAAGATTATGAAAAATATTAGGATAGTTTGACACGAGAACCCCAAAAAAAAGATAATTTGACAATTTGGGGACATCCTTTATACCAATTCAAATCACAATGATCAACTGTTAAGTTCAAGAGAGTAATTAATGTAAGTTGATAACGCCAAGAAAAATTTATTATTTTGGTGGCACGCGTAACAAGTTTAACAAAAGGCAGCCAATTTCCAACCCCTGCACGGTTGAACATCGTGGATCCACATCACCAATCTATTTAATAACAATCCCACCAGAAGGAAACTTACAAGGTAAGGGATTACAATTAAAAACAATGATTATTATAAAACAGGTAGTTGACTCACAGCCTATGTGATTCTTCCGTTTCTTCGTGGAGCACCCACGTGAGTGACAAAGCAACACAGTCGTGGCAACACATCATCTCTACAGTACAAGAAAGCCATACCCGTATCCAAGTTTTAATTAGGGCCCACCCCAACTGTCAACAATTAGGTATTTTAAGAGAAAATTTTATCCACACCCCCATATAATTTGTCATATCTTCAAAGAATTTCTCTTTATTATCTAAAATTTCAATACACTCAATTCTAGTTTATATATATACTAGTTATTATTTGTGTCTGAAGGTACAGAGTAATAAAAAATAGTAAACGATAAAAATATTTGTATTTATATCTAAAATTAAATCACAAGCATAAATGAGAGATAAATTAATTTTAAACATCGGTTGTAGTGGGGGTAAGAGGTAGTGGGCGACAGTGGTGGTGGTAGGAGACGGTAATGGTTGTGGTGGGTGGCAATGACCGTGGTGGCGTTGGTGGTAGTGACTGTAGAGATAGTGGTGGTGGTGGCGACAGGGTGGCGATGATAGTGGCGGCGGTGGCGACGATGGCAATGGGTGAATTCGATTCGACACGACACGATTAATAAACGAATTGTGTATGAGTGAAGTTAATCAAAAAAATACACATGACTCATTTTATATATCAACTATATACGATACGAATTTGATATAATACTATTTGGACTAAATTCTATATTTCCTTGAGAAAAGACGAAAAATAACACTTATCCATTCAACATTAAAATTTTGTCACGTGATATTCATTTAATTTAAAATAAAAAACACATTAAAAATAATAATAGTTGAGAAAAGGAAGAAGTTGGAGAAGAAACTATTTAGAAGAAGTCATGTTAATCGTCAATGGGAAGATGCATATAAAAAGAGTATTAACTATAAGGAATTGATTCGATTAAACTCATCAAAGACTCAAGGCTTCGGCATTTTAGGAGTAGTTTTAGGTCATAAGTAGAATTAAATTTAGTCCTAGAGATTGTTAATTAGTCTGTTTTAACCCGAAACTTTTCAAATTAATAAAAATGTTTGTCCCTTTTTGCTAATCGTTTTACTATGAGTCTGCTTGTTTTAGTTTCATCGATTGTTATAATCAAAAGAAGTTCTAAGGCAAGACAATTGAACCCAACATGAAATAGTTGTTTCAGATCTCTCGTTAAAAAAGGATTAAGTCCGTCGATTGCAATATTAAATTTTTGTGGAGACCAACAAAACGAATTAATACATGAATTAATTATGGGTGAACTACCTTCAAATATGAATTTGTACCACTCTTACCCAATGCGAATAACAGGTCTACTAGCATGCAACACATATTAGCACAAGGAGTCAGTCAAGAAGTAATTCATATTTAAGTATATACAAATTATACAAATATTGAATTCAATGGATATGTATCTAATTGCATAAAAAAGGGGCACTCTTGACAAAGCACTCAACCCATTTGCTAACGAAATGTTAATATAATCTTTCAAAATTTTTAAATAATTATTTTAAAAATTATTTAAATTGTCAAAATTTGTTTTCAAACCGATAATTGTGTGTGAAATGTAGGCTGTCCTCTCTAAGAAAAATACATCCTTTTGTTAAAGCAAAGACTTATTACATAGAGATGGCATGGCAAATGACGAAGTTTGCAGTAGCATCGGAGAATAATATTATTTAAATTTAATTTATTAGTTTAATTCATCTCATCTATTAAAATGATAGTGTCTCTTAATTAATATTGGGTCTATGATTAATTTAATAGTTACAATTAATTAAAGAATTAATTGTGATGAATTAAACTAGTAAATTAAGTTTAAATAATTGTGATAAATTAAGTTAATAAATTAATTTTTAAAAATAATATTATTAAAAGAAATTAAGAGAACAAAATTAAAGTTGAAGACCAAAGAATATCCAAAGGCATATAACGAGGCAGCCGAGGAATATTCCACGCGGAGATCCCGTCCCGTTTGGTTCCTTCCTCCAAAGTCCCCACTTCTTAATCAAATATAAATACCCCCTCCTCTCCGATCTTCTTCTCCCAACAATTCCCGGAATTTCCACTATATCTCGTCTTCCTTGTTTCTCTCCTCTCTCTCTTCACAATGGCTCTCAAGGCCGTTCATGTCTCCGACGTTCCCAATCTCGATCAAGTCCCTGAAAATGCCTCCTTCGCTCTCTACTCCACCCGCTTCTCCAATGGTAAATTTTCAACGGCTATTGTGGTTTAATGCTCTTTATCGAGTTTTTTATGTGTGAGAATAATTTGATAACAAAAAAATGTTTAATATAATTTGCTGATGCCTTGGTTGCGTTGTGAATTGTGCAGGGGTTGATGTTGGTAGAGCTGGGTTTAAAATACCCAAATTTCTTGTGATCGGACACAGGGGGAACGGAATGAATATGTTGCAATCAACAGATCGGAGAATGAAGGCCGTTAAGGAGAACTCGATTCTTTCCTTCAATACTGCCGCGAAATATCCCATTGATTTCATTGAGTTTGACGTTCAGGTATATATTTCCGGCGACATCTCTCCTTTTTTCCTCTGTTCTTGATTTTGTCTCGTCGCCTTGGAGCGTTTTCCGGTGTAGTTGTTTCCGTCTTTTTGTCACCATTCCTGCGTCGTATGCTCGCCGCGTACTTCGTACGTCACCTTTTGAGCTGTTGTATTTCATTAATTGTTAGTGCCTTTCGTCACGCGTCAGTGAGATTAAATAAACATAAATTAAAAATTTTAATAATTAAATAAATATATATTATAAACATAAAATTAGGAACCCGACCGTCGTTCAAGTTTCAGATTAGACTAGTAGATACAAATATTAATAAGCTTAGAGATCAAAGAGGCACAGTCGAAAGATTGTGGACCAAATAAACATTAAACTCATTCTTTTGAGATAAAAAATGTATTTTACCCATTTTATTTTCACTCTAAAATTTATTTTGTCCTTATTAAGCGTAAAATTAGCCTTTTTTTTTTTGAAGGAAATACCATGAACAAATTTACTATTTTACAGCTGTAAAAAAGCAGCCATAATTGACTTGACGATGCGCGTAGACTGTACAAAGATCTTATTCGTTTAGACAAACTTTCTGAGGAAAATTCGTTTGAATAAAAACCCTTTCTTTCTTTTTGTGCGAAAATTATTGGCAAACATATTAACCGATCATTTGGGTCAGATTGTTTCCTTTACTTTTTGTTTCTACGTTTGAATTTTGTCATAAAGGTACTGATTAGTTTATTTTTGCTGGTGTTTTTTGGTGTGAAAATTATAAACAGTCTTGCCTCAAAAAAATAATTTTTTTTTTCCGGGAGTTGAGACAAGAGTCTTAGACGGGAAAGTAAAAAAAAAAATGTGATTTTTGTAGGTGACAAAAGATGACTGCCCGGTCATTTTTCACGACAACTTCATCCTCTCTCAAGAAAATGTGAGTTCCCTTCTCTGTTATATCAATGTTTCTCTTTATATATAATTAATTCTTATCTTTTTTCCATTTCCATTGGCCAATTGATCTTATTTAGAGTTGTAACTTTCAGGGTAGCATATTTGAGAAGAGAGTTACAGAATTGTCTCTATCAGAATTTCTCAGCTATGGTCCCCAAAGAGAATCCGGAAACTTGGGGAAGCCTTTGCTAAGAAAAACAAACGGCAAGATTGTGAGCTGGAATGTTGAAAACGATGATGTCTCGTGTACTCTGCAAGAGGCGTTTCACAAGGTGAACGCTTCTGTAGGCTTCAACATCGAGTTAAAGTTTGATGACCACATTGTCTATCAACATGACTATCTCATCAATGTTCTCCAAGCCATCTTGCAGGTAGATTATGTCTCTCTTATCAGTTTTTTTTTTTTATCATTGTGTGTGTGTCCGTGTGTTGTGGTGGTGGTGGTTTTGGTTTGTGGGCTTATTGCTAATTAGTTGGAAATTGTGGTTCAGGTGGTGTTTGAACATGCCAAAGACAGACCCATCATCTTTTCATCCTTCCAACCTGATGCAGCACTTGAAATAAAGAAATTGCAGAGCACCTACCCTGTAAGTTACTTTATATAGTTGATTTTTGTAATTCTTTTTTCCTTCATTTTTTTTCAGCAAACGATAAAATCTCAGGGTTCCTAATAATGTCGGTTACGGATTAAAACCAGGTTTTCTTCCTCACAAACGGAGGAACTGAAATTTATTATGATGCGAGAAGAAATTCCTTGGAGGAGGCCTTGAAATTGTGTTTAGAGGGTGGTTTGCAAGGAATTGTCTCTGAAGTCAAGGGAATTTTTAGAAATCCGGGGGCAGTGCAAAAGATCAAAGAATCAAAGCTGTCCCTCCTAACATATGGCAAATTGAAGTATGTATTCTCATCTCATGTGTACATATTTATGATGTTCGCTTCTATGTTGTGTTTTGAGTTGTAAAATTCGTTTAGCACTGATTTCTGAATTTTATATTTCAGTAATGTGCCTGAAGCGGTCTACATGCAACATCTAATGGGCGTTGATGGAGTGATTGTTGATTTGGTTCAAGAAATCACAGAGGCTGTTTCTGACATGATCAAGCCATCTCAGGAGCGTGAAGATGGGATAGTATTGGATGGGGAGGAGCAAATACAAGTGGAAGCAAAGCCCCAATTTTCACAGAGGGAATTGTCATTTTTGCTGAAGTTGATACCAGAATTGATACAGCTCTAATATATAGTCACTTATACAGAGGGAATTGTCATTTTTCTGTTTTTTGTATTTCGAACTTTAAGCATGGAGGTGTTAGCCACAGTAAATCCCCTTTCTTGTAAATAATTTGGTCGTGTCATGTATCTGTTTCTGTATCTGTATTGAATGAATTTCATACGGGGTTTGTTCCTCCATTTATATTGCCACAGGGAATATCAATGTATCATAGTTCAGTAGACTTATTTTTCTTCTTTGATTTGTATCTCTGTCTCTCTGGTCTTTATCCTTCTATCTTTTCAATTTCTCTTCTTGCCCTTTTTGCAATGAGAATGTAGATCTGGTGAACAAGCATCGTCGTACTAGTTTTGAGAAGGAAAGACGAAATTATTGTTTTACTTTGTTCACATTTTTGTGCGAGCTGCAGAGGTTTCTGGAACTTGCTTTTGGAAACGTTGTTTTGGTCTATGCTTATCTACCATGTCTTGATATCGTTTCGTAATCCAGAATGAAGAACTTAAATTGTTAAAGTGTGGAGCTAGCTACCGAGGCAACCTGTCTAGAGAGAGAAATTATAGAGCTTTTAAGTGTTAGAAATCGAGCTTTTACCCAACTCATGGGGTTTTCAAAATAAATACCCTAAAGAGGGTTGTTTTTAATGTATTTTTCAAACTCAAATTGTTTTAAAAATGTTAGTTAAAATGATATTTTTATACTAAAAGATGTCAGTTGGAGTAATGTTTTTAGGCAAAAAAAAGTCAGACCAATTGATGTTTTTTGTGCAACATTGTAGCCATTTACAGAACCTAAAAACGTCAGTACAATTGACGTTTTCATTAAAAACGACAGTTCTATTAACGTTTTTAGCTAGATCGATTTTTTTTTCTTTTTCCCTCTTCTTTCTTTCTTCTCAGTTATTTCGATTTTCTTCCTTCTTCTCCCAAATCAATTGAGCCCTAACCTCCTTCAAGCAACTAGGCAGCACCACTAGTGTCCCCCTTTGTCCACCATAATTTGCAACCCACTCCACCACCACCCGAAATCTCCACCAGCAATCAACACAATCCTTGATATCCAACCATCTTTTTGTAAAATTAAGGATAATTATTGATGAGCTCGGATTTTACTGGGTCAAGCCAAATTTAAATAAATAGAGAAAGCTCAAAGAAGCGTTCATTGTCGACTCATCGAGGACGACACCAAGAGGACATCACCAAAAGCCAACGGTCGAAGGAGCAGGAGGACAAGGGAGCCCTTGGGCACCCCTCCTCTTGATCCTCCTCACATTGGTACTCCAGCTCCAGGTCCAAGACAAGTCCAGGTCCAAGTCCAAGCCAAGCCTACTTTAGACAAGTCCAGATCCAACTAATGTTCTCCTCCGGATGAATAGGAGCACGAGGAAAGATAATATGAAAATAGATATAGAAGATCTCCTACCATAACAATACTTGTCAAAACAATAGAATTATTCTCCCTCACGCCACCGCCTCTACTACCTTATCCTAACTATATAATGTAAGCTCTTTCAACATGAAGGGCCTGAGGAACGCCTCCAAGGACCTTCTTGAGACCTCTATAACTTGAAGTCTCCAAAACCTCTCTGCACTTCTCTCTCTCTCTCTCTCAAAAGCACTGTAACTCTTCGGAGACCATGATTTATCAATAAAGAATACCAGGCCACCGCTGCCGTTTCGAGAGTGGAGTAGGTCACTCGAACCGAACCATTATAAATCCCTTTGTTGATATATTTTTTACTATTTTACTCTTAATTGTCATTGATTGTTTGTTTGTCACTCATTAATTGCACTCTCACACATACTTGACTGTTGATCTTGCACGAAAACAGTTTTGTGCATCATCAATTATCATTCACACCCTTTATAAATAGACATTTTTAATGAGATCTCTTCTATTATTCAAAACATCACTGACTCCCCTTCTTTTAAATCACCATTTCTAACCCAAAAAAAAAAAATCATCTATGGTGGACAAAGGGGGACGCTGGTGGTGCTGTTGCCTAGTTGCCTGAAGGAGGTTAGGGCTCAACTGATTTGGTGGAAGAAGAAAGAAAATTGAAATAATAGAGAAGAAGGAAAGAAGAGGGAAAAGAAAATCAGAAAATTAATCTAGCTAAAAACGTCAATAAAACTGATGTTTTCAATGAAAACGTAATTGTACTGACATTTTTAGGTCCTGTAAATCGACTACAGTGTTGCACAAAAAAATCAGTTGGTCTGATGTTATTTACCTAAAAACTTTACACCAACTCACATTTTTTGGTATAAAAATATCGTTCAAATTGACGTTTTTAAAACAACTTGAATTTAAAAAGTACTTTAAAAACAACCATCTTTATAATTTTTTTTTAAAATCCCATGGGTTGGTATCGGGATCAATCAAAAAAGCTGCTATTATCGTATATTATGGCAGGACTTACAAGTGATAAAATTAATCAAAAAGAATAAGCACCAACGCCAAAGTTTTACCAGGTCCCAGGAATTTATTACCTTGGGCTCTCCCCTCCCCAACACCCGGTTCCAAGTCCGTAGTTGCCATGTGCAGTACACAAAGAGCATGTATCCTCTCCCCTTGAATTTTAATCCTCCTACAACAAACAAACTCCAAAATCCCTAATCATCGTGCAGGAGGCGTACACCTGCCATGAAAAAGGATACAAGAAATTCAGAGTAAAGTAATATACAAGACGTACACCATTCACATTCTGTTTTATACCTACTCTATGATTAATTAAGTTTACCACATTCTTCATTTCACACACATCTATCAATCACTAAACTCGTTTCAATGTTAAAAATACATCATATTATCGTGTTAACTATATTATTTTTCCTTTTTTATACCTCTCAAACATGAACTATTCTCAACCCATAAAAATGCCAGCCCCATTTAACCCCCCCGGGGGGTGGCTTCAACCGTTATGGCTTCATCTCTTTAATTACTCAATGCTCATATTTGAATCCACAAATTACCCCAACACTAAATAATTGAGTAGTTCATCACTAAATCAAAACAGATGCAAAGCGCCTAATATTAATTTTTTTTTTATAAACTCTGTAACCAACAACTATCATGCGAATAGGATTAGATCACTGTTTAAGTTAAAGTCTATTAAACAACGTAAAAATCTTTTAATAATTAAGATCAGGGCGAGATTTGAATAAAAGATATCCTGTTGTGATGCCATGTTAAACAACCATCTATTCTAAATTTTAAACTGTAATAAAAGGTGTAACTGCAATATTGATACTTCAATAAAGTCCAAATTTACTAATTTGACAAAACTCTTTGCTATTGACCCCAGTGAGGATAGAAAAGATTACATGTATCTACCTTTTGTTTTAAAATATGATAATGTAACATAATATGCTTATTTATTTTGATTAACTTGGTTTCATTCCGATCGAAAAAATGTAAGAAAGAGAGGTGGGTCCAGAATGAGGCGAGCTTAAAAAATTAATGAGGTTTATTTAGAAAAAGATGAATTTAATAGTTTTACATCAAAAAATTTAATAGAGTGGGAGTGAAAATTTGTGGAGTGGGAATAGTCCCAACCTAAAAATATAAGTCATTTATAAATATTAATATGTGAACAATACATGTATATGCATATTTTTATACATGCAATTAAATTTTGAAAAAAAATAACAAAATAGTTAGAGAAACGAGTAATGAGGAAACAATTATAAAAAAAAAAAAGTTAATAATTCGTAGCTCAATTACCTGCCAGCCAAACGATCATCAACCATTCACACTTTTTGGTTGTCATGCATAGATTTTCTTACTCCTATCCCGAAACTCTCGTAGCATCTCTCGTATTTGTAATTGTTTACAGCGAAACCCCCCAATCTTCTCTCCTAATGCAGCCCTTCCTTCAACTTGTTATGCATATTTGATTCCCCCCTCTCTCTCTTCTGTTTCCTCCTTCTCCAATGGGTTGTGGCATTTCTACTTTTCATCTAGTTGATGATGGCGTGATACATGGCTGTGGGCCCCTCGGGAAGGGCCGAAGGAATGATCGTGCTAAAGTGGATGGGAATCCCTCCACCAAATTGCTTCTTAACGTTGGTGGAGATGATGATGATGATAGTACAGTCGATTCCAGTGGTAACCGTAAAAGTGTTTCCTCCATCAAGGTGGACGATTCCGATTTTAATGGTGGCCATAATACCATTTCCTCGCATACTAAGAAGGTGATATATGTGAGGGAACTGGCATTCCATGAACAGCGAGTGAAACCTTCGCACCAAAATAAAGAAACTGTGAAGCAGCCTGTGGTCGATTTTGATGTCAAAATCAAGAAACTGGATGGAGATCAGGAAAGAGAAAGAGACGTGGAGGCTGTGGAAGGGGAAGAAGAGGGAGAAAGGATTTCTGATTTCAACGGTTCACTACTGATTGGATCGCCTAGTTTCAGGGAGTATTGTTACAACGATTCTGACTCAGATGACAGCGTCAATAATGGTGGTGAGTTCCGGCAATTTTTCAGAAATTGAAGAATTGTCGATTATAACTTTTTCTCCTGGAATTTTTGCCCTTGAATTTGAAATCTGCTCAAAAAAAATATAATTTGGAATCTGCATAAAGCTTCTTGACAGAATTGTAAATTCGAGTTTGGCATTGAGAACGAAAATGTGATAGACGTGATGATTCGATTCTAGAGGGGGATAAAGAACATTGATTTGATTGTTTGTGCAGGTAACAAGGATGGAGAGAAGACGGAAGCCAACACTCCACCGGGGGACAAAATTGCAAGTTCGAGTGAGGTACATGTACCCTGTTAGATGTTTCATGCTGACTCCACCCAAATTGTTCTTTTTTTCTTGGGTTAATTGCACGGCCGTTTTCAAAATATAGGATTTGCCTCATTTTAATATTTAATATTTTAATTGTATCATTTTAATTTTTTAAGTATTAAATAATTGTTAATAATTTTTTATTATAAACTTTTCAAGTAATATCTAAATATAGATAAAAAACAATTTATATAGCTTTTGACAAAAAATGTGTAATATAGGTAACTTTTAACCAAAATTTGGATAGTTTATAGTTAAAACTGTATAATTTGAGTAACTCTTTAAAAAAAATTTGGGTAAAAATTTGGTCAACAGTGATGCAAATTATTTTTTCGCTCATATTTAGGTATCATGTGATAAGTTTAAAATAAAAAAATTGTTACTAATTGTACGTTGTCTATTTAAGGGACCACATAAAAATATATTCAATATTTTAAAGATCAAAATAATGCAATTAAAATATTGAAGACCAAAATAAAACAAATTTTATATTTTGAGAACTTCTAGTGCAATTAATTCTTTTTTATCTTTAAGGAAGGATGGGGGTTGAGAAATTTTATTTGAGTGACAAGTGCTCAACAATTCAACAAAATCTTGTCTTAATATTTCTAATATTTTTTGGGTGAGAGAAATACTTCCCATGAAACGAAGACATTATGTTTTGCAATGGAGGAAAACATCATCTAATTTTGCTGTTTATGTAAGTGTTGAAGATGGAATTGATCGGAAGCAATACCCATTTCAATTCTTAGTCCTGACATGAATAATGTTTCCTTAATCGGATCTAGAAGAGAATTAGTTGAAATGCATCTAAGCTGGTTCGGACATCCCTTACCGTTGAACCCCCAAAAAAAAAAAAAAAAAAGCCCTATTTCCCTAGAGTTGGCTTGTATCTAGAAAAGATGCATTAGAATTCCAAAGATTTATTAGCTTATGATTTTGTTTTAATCACTCTTATATGGGATCCCTTGTGCAAAATGACACTTAATTGACAACTATTTACATTGGTAGGCATTTTTTTATGAGGTATTCAAGTTGACCCCAAATCTATGAGTCTTTTGATTCTCTCTCTCTCTTCTATTAACCTCCAAATCAATATATGAGCCTTGTGATTCTCTCTCTATGGTTTCAAGTTTGACTACTAACACTAATATGCAGGGGCGGAGCTACACTTACTGCAGCCCCCACTCAATTTTTTTGTTAAAACATTTTTTTATATAAATTTTAACATATTCTAAATTTACCCCCACAAAAATTCATATACATTTTAATTTACTTAATAATTTCTAACATTAAGATTAAATTTCTTTACTTTATTATTGATTATTTAGTTGAATCTTTCAATGTTCAAGAAATTTTAGAGTTTTTCGTTCTCTCCCCTATATGAAGCCCCCTTACTCTCATCTTTGTAAATTTTGACATATTAAATGATAACATTATTATGTAATATTTTTATAATATAAAAATTAGTCAATAAGATAGTAAATATAAGGTATACGTTGTTCCTTTATGATTTGAATGTCAATAATTCAAGCTGCAAAAAAAATACTCTTGCACATGCAGGAAAATAATACATACATCTTACTCTAGACCTTGCAATAGCAGGAGCCATACGTTGGGCCACCTCGTTTAATTTATTATTATTTCAAAGTTTTAAATTTTACTTTTGTTAAAAAAAATGTTACTAACATAACAACCTAATTTGAAAATATAACGCATTGTTATTGTTGAATTAGCAAAGGGTATCAACATTAAATGTATTTTATTTGTTAATTCAACGGTAATAATGCATTAGCTTTTCCAATTTAGTACATATAGTATTGTTGTTGCTAAAATTTTTGCCTCCACTACCCCAAATTTCTGGCTCCGCCCCTGCTTATATGACAAAAATTCATGCCCTATGAAGAAAAGGATATGCATACTAGTTATTAAAAATTTATTAGTCCTAGTGAAATATCACCAAAATTTCTATGCTTTCGTAATGTTCTGAGAATGCTTTACTGCAGATTTGTTACCTGGAAGGATCAAGGACGAGATCAGATAAAAAAGGAAGGAGAGGAAGAAGATTCAGAAAGGTGTTTCCAATGCACCGGACATCTGCTGTAAAAAATCTCTTGAATGTCACCACTTGCTACAACCCCAATGCTTCCTCTTGCCGTGGAGCTCAGAAACTGCCTGAAAAAGCCTTCTAATTAATCACTGTATATAAAGGCAGTTTCTGAGCTCCTTTATGTACAGTGATCCTTTTTCCCATTTTAATTTCATGTTAATGATCTTATGTTCTCTGCAAAGCAACAATTTGTGTGTCTATCTTTGTTTTTGCTAATGTTGTGAAATGAATATAAAGTATTGATACCATCTATCAGATCACTGTCTAAATTCTGGAGAATTTGATGCTTTGTGTACATGACTAGCTTCTTCTTTTCTTTTGGTTCGGTTTGGTTTGGTTTGGTTTGGTTCTTCAAACCTTGGGGCTGAAGGCTGAAACTAACATTCCTTTTGACCACTAAAGAACCTCTAAAGTAAAGCAACAATTTCATCTAATCCATCTTTTGTTGATGGGTGATGGCTGGACTTTTACGATTAAATCTTTGAAACTAGCTTTCTTTATTTGTGAAGATCTTTGAAGCAGTTTAAAGTCACTTTATTTGTGCTTAACGTACTTAATTCCTATAAAAAAAGAACTTTGCCAATAAATTTTTTGGTACCACCTTCCACCATTCCATGTCTTCCTTGAAAATTACTTATCTCAAAAGCATTTCAATAGATCTATGTTCCGTCCCGCATTCTCCCAAACGCCTTCACCTTGGCTAAACACAGAGATAGAGACACAAACAGAGACAGAGAGATCCATACTAATCCCATAAGTGGAAAACCAACCAACACCACTATACTTGCACCAACAGATGAAAAGGGGAGAATTGCTAGTTAAATCAATCACTGTTGTGATCATTAAATTACTAGTGGAGTGTCTTTTAAGCCTCAAGTTCACTTTATGACAAACGAACTATCAAGGCGACGATATGAGGGTTAAATATGTACCCTATTTGTAATGAGATTATGTCCATGAATTGATCTAATCTACGCGTAGGATTTCATGGATCTAAATTTTAATCCAAATCTAATAAGTTAGATGCAAATTATTATTTTATATCAATAATTGGTATGAAAGTTTATATATTTTAAATTTAAATTTGAATATACTTATAATTTGATTCGATTATATTTAATTTGAATTATTCATATAAATAAATATATGATAAAATTATTTTTTATTTTTTATGTTTTATGTTTGGCAAAATCTAATTAATTAAAATGTTCCTTATAGTAGTATGTTGACAGAAACCTACTCAAGGGGGGCCGGGGCGGGCCGGTCAAAGAGTGGGAAGTGGAGTGTTTTGATCATATTCACACAATGTACAGCTCACAACCGCCAAAGCCCACTTTGCCTTTGTCACCTAAAATTTGACTTTGACTCCATTGTTCGTACAGCCTGACAATGAATTTTGCTCTCAACCAATTGGGATCTGCCACGTCATACTCCTTTGACCATCTAAGCGTTACAATTGCAACAAACCCGGAAGGGCTCGTTTCCTTAGGGGTAAAACTGTAAACTAATGTCAGCGAGTCTTTGTCTCTCTACATCAGAGTCGCAGCGGGAATAAATCAGCCCAAAGTACGTTACAGGACAACTCGCTTTCAAATTCTGCCACGTGTGAACTTAGAGGCTTAAGCTTATCATAGTTAAGGTAGCACGCGCACCGCATTCCCTCCCGACTATCAAAATTACTAAATTGGTCATAATAGAATTTTCTTCCAACTCACTCTCTCTCTCCCCTTCTTCCTCTCCCACATTTCAACGTCTCGCTCTTCGGCTCTTTTCATTCCTCCGTTGATCTTTTCGTTGGAGAAGAAGAGAGAGACTGATACTTCTGGATATCTATTCTTAACCTAATTATATACGTATCTACGTACATATACAAAGTTTTTGGGATTATTTGACATGAAATCTCTGGGGAAGCTGCGAAAATTTGCACTCCACAAAAGCGATGCGAAGGAGAAGGGAGATCGTCAAACTTCGGCGCATTTGGATGAGCTTGCTCAGGCTTCTCAGGTGCATTTCTTTGTTGTTATCTCGGGCGATTATTGTCTTCTAATTTGACATCTTTTCTTGGTAATATTCGAAAAAGTGAAGGACATTCGATTAGGGTTTTACTGTCATCATGTCCGTAGTTTGCTTGCTCTGAGATTCGAGCTCCGGTTTACTTTTCGCATTAAATTGTGCAAATCGGGCAGGCCTGTGGAGGAGGTTTCCATCACTACAGAGTCTATATGGAGAAGTTGTATCCCCAACTCGAACCCACGATCAAGGCCTGCCCTCTCTCATTAAATTATGCGAATGTTTCTCAAAACATGGAGGCAAAACTGGGTTGAATGTAAAATATTTGAAGCAAAGCTTAAGACTTCACAGAACATGTGCAATTGAGAACGAAAGTGGCAGCAATTTTGCCTTGTTAGTGACGTAAATTGAACTTGGTTTACAGGTGTAATGCATTGATTCCCAATACTGTCTTCTTTTAGACAATGGTGAATTTCTTATTTTGTTAGGAGCCCATTTCTTCTTCTATCAGGAAACATATTCAAGGTTGACCAGTTTGCAAAGATCGAATGATTTCAATGATCAAAACTAATCATATAAATGTAATTATCAACAGAATCACAGTCTTGACATTCTTTGTCTAGTTTTTCAGTTGTTTTTTTATTTCTTACTGTAACCTACTATATCGGGGGTACTTTTCTCATGCACTGTTCAACGTAATGGTGTATGGGGACATACTGACAATTTGAATGATGGATTCTACCAGTGCAAATGCCCATTGTTGAAGGATAATTAAATCTCTGCATGGGTCTAGCCGGTATTGTGAATCTTTGCCGAAGCTCTGATAACACTGTTGTTATACTGGAAGTTGGGTTTGTTTTGGGCAGCAACAATGGAAGTTATATGATTAAACAAAGTGTTGAAACTTGAAACACGGGGTTTATGTGCTTCATTCAAACAATGGTGCTATGTCCAAAGATGGTCAACGACTTCTCTAGAGATTGTATTAGTATGGAGATTCCGAGTAGATCACCCAAAAATCTAAACTCCCTCAGTTGTAATTATTGATACCAAAGATGAAGCTGTAAAAAGGAAGGAGGGCCACATGGAATTTATCCCTACTCTCTCGCCAATTAACATTTAACAGTTAAATTGAGAGTCTCTCTCAAATCCTCGCACATCAAACTGATCCTTCTGCAAGGAAGAACCCCTCCTTACATTGTGTACACTCAATAAAGGTTTCTACAAAATTCTTGATCAAATTTGGGAAAACATGAGGGTTAAGGCTTCACTAAGTTCAGATGAGTTATGATCATCACTTGAGTAGTCAAAGAAACCGTCTCATTTGCCAAGCTGTAAAAATGTTTAACGCTTGGCTACAAAGAGATATATAACTTACAGAGTGACAAAAATATTAGAACAGCAAAATAACATAAGCAAAAGAAGTGCTTGTCCAAATTGATAGAGCTTTAAAATACCGCTACCACTTCTGAAGAATAGAATCATATCCAGTAGTTGTATTTGTCTAGAGGATTCTGGAATTTGCTAAGAATTTTTTTTAATGCAAAAATGAAAAAAAGCAATCCTTTCTATGGAGGCTGTAAAAAGAAGGATGATGCATGTACGTGTAACTTTTACCATGTTGACACTGCAGTGAGAAGCACTGTTGTCCCATCACTTTTACTGTCTTATGCGGCCATCTACACTGGTTATTATATTATTTTTTCCAGTATATTGAAAACTCGTGGACTGGGTGAGATGGTGTTCTGTTTATTTTTGTTGCTATTTTCTCCAAATTATTATAATGCCTCTTTTTTTTTTCCAGGATATGCAGGACATGAGAAATTGCTACGATAGCTTACTTTCTGCAGCTGCTGCTACGGCAAATAATGCATATGGTACTAGTTTGGCCTAATAAGGGGCGAGCTTCAAAGTTAAATAATATAGAATATAACAACCATAGGAAGATTAACGCAAACTCTTAAAAAGAGAGAGAGAGAGAGAGGAAGATTAATGCAAACTAAGTGAAAGGATGCGGCTGGCGTATTATGTGATCAACACATACTCTTTAAGCTGAAAGTTAAATTTAACAAAACAACAATTTGACCTAAGTCTGAGTTATGCTGCATGATGTTTGGCAATTACGAAACAATACAGTCAAAAACTAAGTATGATAGGAATTAGCATTTTAGGGTGGGAAGATGTGTGGTAAAAACAAAAAGAATAGATAGAGCAATAAACCTATTCATGATGTAGGTGAATTGACTTAGGTGGTTTAGATTTATTTATAGAAGATCTATTGCTGCACCATTGGGAAAGAGTAATGCGATAACTATCAGTTGCAAGAGGCAGAGGTAGATTGTAATTAGCTTTGAATGAGATAGGAAAAATAATATTATAATTCTTGGTTTAATAGAAGGCGTTAGCTGGATAAAGCACAATTGGTGGACATAATTCATGAATTCATGTTGTTGACCTCAAATAATTGGGATAAAATTTTGTTTAGTTGGGTTGAGTCTCTTATAATCTTAAGGTGAACATGAAGAATTCAGTGCCATCTGTTTTTGTGTTTAACTTTGTGTATAATGCATCAAACTAATTATCCATTTTATATCTGCATGTCAGAATTTTCAGAGTCACTGCAGGAAATGGGGACCTGTTTACTAGAAAAAACTGCATTGCATGATGACGGAGAAAGTGGTAAGTGAATTACTCGGGTTGTTGGTAGGCACATTGGCAGTGGCATACTTTATATGAAGATTTTCCAAAATACACACGCTTTAACAAATTTTCGTCTATATGCAGGCAGAGCTTTATTAAAGCTCGGGAAACTGCAGTTAGAACTCCAGAAACTTGTTGACAGCTACGTGAGTCTTTATATTTTTATGCTGCACACCCTTTGTTATTTCTTTGCAGCACTGATTTCAACCTGACAATGAGTTTTTTCTGACTTACCTCATGTTTACTCATTGTCATTTTGTATTTCAGCGTTCTCATGTCATCATGACAATAACAAATCCATCAGAATCTCTTCTTAGTGAGCTTCGGAAAGTGGAGGTCTGTATTACAGTATTATTGCTGGTTTAAATGTCTATAATTACTTTCTTCAGCGTAGCTGCATTGAGTCATATGTTTTTAATGTACTTGATAGATAATGTGCTGTTTGGTAATTCAATTGAGTGAGGTAAAATTATTGTGAATGTGTGCCACAGGTTATGTGTAGGTGTCTATGAAGCACTAATGTGTGTGACACAAGGCATTAGTGCTTCAGAGAAACACAATAGGTAAACTCTTTGTGGTTTAGCTTCCATCTGTGTCACAAGGCTGCCTTGCGCAGAATGCCTCTGACACTCAGCTAGTTGCATATAACTGTTCTGATTTACTCTTNGCAGCTGCTGCTACGGCAAATAATGCATATGGTACTAGTTTGGCCTAATAAGGGGCGAGCTTCAAAGTTAAATAATATAGAATATAACAACCATAGGAAGATTAACGCAAACTCTTAAAAAGAGAGAGAGAGAGAGAGGAAGATTAATGCAAACTAAGTGAAAGGATGCGGCTGGCGTATTATGTGATCAACACATACTCTTTAAGCTGAAAGTTAAATTTAACAAAACAACAATTTGACCTAAGTCTGAGTTATGCTGCATGATGTTTGGCAATTACGAAACAATACAGTCAAAAACTAAGTATGATAGGAATTAGCATTTTAGGGTGGGAAGATGTGTGGTAAAAACAAAAAGAATAGATAGAGCAATAAACCTATTCATGATGTAGGTGAATTGACTTAGGTGGTTTAGATTTATTTATAGAAGATCTATTGCTGCACCATTGGGAAAGAGTAATGCGATAACTATCAGTTGCAAGAGGCAGAGGTAGATTGTAATTAGCTTTGAATGAGATAGGAAAAATAATATTATAATTCTTGGTTTAATAGAAGGCGTTAGCTGGATAAAGCACAATTGGTGGACATAATTCATGAATTCATGTTGTTGACCTCAAATAATTGGGATAAAATTTTGTTTAGTTGGGTTGAGTCTCTTATAATCTTAAGGTGAACATGAAGAATTCAGTGCCATCTGTTTTTGTGTTTAACTTTGTGTATAATGCATCAAACTAATTATCCATTTTATATCTGCATGTCAGAATTTTCAGAGTCACTGCAGGAAATGGGGACCTGTTTACTAGAAAAAACTGCATTGCATGATGACGGAGAAAGTGGTAAGTGAATTACTCGGGTTGTTGGTAGGCACATTGGCAGTGGCATACTTTATATGAAGATTTTCCAAAATACACACGCTTTAACAAATTTTCGTCTATATGCAGGCAGAGCTTTATTAAAGCTCGGGAAACTGCAGTTAGAACTCCAGAAACTTGTTGACAGCTACGTGAGTCTTTATATTTTTATGCTGCACACCCTTTGTTATTTCTTTGCAGCACTGATTTCAACCTGACAATGAGTTTTTTCTGACTTACCTCATGTTTACTCATTGTCATTTTGTATTTCAGCGTTCTCATGTCATCATGACAATAACAAATCCATCAGAATCTCTTCTTAGTGAGCTTCGGAAAGTGGAGGTCTGTATTACAGTATTATTGCTGGTTTAAATGTCTATAATTACTTTCTTCAGCGTAGCTGCATTGAGTCATATGTTTTTAATGTACTTGATAGATAATGTGCTGTTTGGTAATTCAATTGAGTGAGGTAAAATTATTGTGAATGTGTGCCACAGGTTATGTGTAGGTGTCTATGAAGCACTAATGTGTGTGACACAAGGCATTAGTGCTTCAGAGAAACACAATAGGTAAACTCTTTGTGGTTTAGCTTCCATCTGTGTCACAAGGCTGCCTTGCGCAGAATGCCTCTGACACTCAGCTAGTTGCATATAACTGTTCTGATTTACTCTTACATCATGGCACTACAGTGCAGATCTTAAGTATTTTGTTTTCTTATCTTCGTGCAGGAGATGAAACTTCAGTGTGATGAGAAAAGGTATAATTTTTTCTATTTTGACCTAATTTTCTTGGATTGAAGTAAAGGTTCTGTGTTTAAAATAAAGGTAACTGTTTTGCTGGTTGCTTACACGACTATCAGAGAGATCTATGAGTACATGATGGCACAGCATAGAGAAAAGGGGAGATTAAGAAGTGGAAAGGGGGAAAGTTTTACTTCCCAGCAATTACAAGCCGCTCGTGAGCAATATGATGAGGTGGCTAGACTGTGTGTTTTTCGGGTAGAATCTCTTAAACAAGGGCAATGCCGCAGTCTCTTAACACAGGCAGCTCGTCATCATGCAGCGCAGGTTGGTTGGTTTATTTATTTTTTTATTTTTAATATCTCCTATGAGCTAAAATGTCGTAATAACCTGTCATCCTTTTTAAATTTTATATTAATTTGGTGCCTTTTACCTTCTCCTGAAAGCAGTTGAATTTATTTCGCAAGGGACTTAAATCTCTCGAGGCCGTGGACTCACATATTAGATTAGTAACGGAAAAGCAACACATAGATTACCAACTTAGTGAACTAGATTATGGGGAAGATGAGGAGGATGAAGGTTTGAGTAGCTATGAGAGAAATGAGGCTGGGGAGCTGAGTTTTGACTACAGACAAAATAATCAAGGGCTTGAGAGGGCTTGCTCATCAAGGAATTCAATGGAGGTAAGCTTCTTGCATACGGATCTTGGTACCTTGTGTTTGCTTCTGTATTAAGTCTAGTTGAGTCTGAAACATTTTTGCGCTCTTATGCATGCAATATGTTGCTTTAAGAACTTGTGATTTTGCAAAATTGCACTTTCCATTTACACTAGAATAGTGATTGTGTCAGAATTAGATGCTCTTTACTTTTTACATAATTAGCAATGGACAAGGTGTGTTCCTCCACGTCAACAAATTTAAATAATACTTTTTTTAATAGAAAATGTGGATTATATGCGTAATTAAATTAAATAATAAATTAGGTGCCAAATAATTAATTTATTTTTAATTATTGCTAAATTTAATTATTGATTTATTTTAAAAATATTGATTAGATCACTTATAATATTAATATTATTACATACCAAAAAATCAAATATAACATAAATTTGACCTTGAAATTTAATCTGGTTACTACATGTGTGTAATAATTTAACATAAATTTGACTTTATTTTTTGATATAGATATAGATATAGAAAATTGTATGTAAGTGTACTATTAATAAATGAGTCTACAAGAATTTAAAAGTACTAATAAAAGAATGCAAAACAAATTGAAAGTCAAATAGGGGGTATAAATGATTTTTTCATAATAATTAGGAATAAAGTAGGAAATCAAAATTTTTTTATAGATGTTGATATTTATAAGTAGTATGGATTATTGAATTGCACAGCGTCACTAGAATGAATTTCTAGGCTTGTCAACTTCAGGAGTTTTAGTATCAATAGGAGGTGAATAAGGAGAAAATCAACTTAGATAATTTGGACATATTTATAGAAAACTTATAGTACAACAGGGAAGTGATTTGATACATATAGATAATAATGCGAGAGGTAGAGGTGATCTAAAATTAACTTTGGACAAAATAATAAAAAAAAGAAGCAATAGTTCGTGGTTTAACTAAAAATATGGCCCTTGCTAGAGCGCAATGGAAAAATTGAAGTTACGTAGCCTACTCCATATAATTGGGATAAATACTTGAGTTGAGTATCTTGGTTCACAATATGGGTGTGGGAGTTATGGCTTTGTAGCCTTTTGTTCAGTCTCGGACTCATCACTTATGTAGCATTCTCACATCTCTCTTGCAATGGCTGTTTTTTCAGTTGGATCGAGTGGATGTTGCATATCCTCGAGCTTCGAAGTCAGAGGATGCAGAGGTTATAAAACAGCACTCCTTTTGAATGGTCATTGAAACTTGATTTTTCATTGAGATAGTCAACGTATATGTTTTCAGTCTTTGGGCTTAATTGTAAAGCTTCTCTAAAACAACTTTGAAATTGCTTGGCTTAGTTATAGAACCATTGTTCCGTTTTCTTGTCCTCATACTAGTCATGTTGAAATTATATTCTTTTGCAAGGGTCAACTATATTGTGCCTTCTTTCTGCAGATAAATCTCGGCAAAACCCAAGTGGAGCAGGTTTTCAGTCGGCAGCCTTGGACAGTCAGCCATTCTGCCCCAATATTTGCAGAGAAGTTTGATCCAGTTGAAAGGATAAAAGAAATGCGACCAACCACTGGGAAGTTCAACACGTATGTGCTACCTACGCCTGCTGATGCAAAAAGTTCAACTTCAAGAACAAGCACTTCAATCACCCACTCAAGTCCTAGCCTAAGAGGGAGCAGCCAGAATTTGTGGCATTCATCCCCACTGGACACAGATAAGCATGAGACTAATGCCATGGATGGTAATTTGTCAGTACTACCAACCCCTCCTTTGGCCGATGGAGTTTCTCTTCAACAGTTGGATGCTCATAATACTCATGATACTAAAAAAAATAAAAGACAAGCCTTCTCTGATCCATTAGCAAGTAATCCTCGGTCCACCAAGCCTTCCTTATCTACTAGTGGCCCCATCACCTCTACTGAACTTCCCCATCTAGTTTCTGGATTGCTTTCTAGAGTACCAATTCCTCAACCTTCTTCATCTCAAAATGTCCCTCGTAGTGCTTCACCTCCACTTGTATCTTCACCCAGAATTAGTGAGCTACATGAACTCCCCAGGCCCCCTGGCAATTTAGCCTCCAAGCCAGCAGGTTCTTCTGGCATGATTGGGCATTCTGTCCCACTCGTCTTTAGAAATCAAGATGGCACTCCAACAAATAAAAACCCATCACTGGCATCAAATGCATCATCTTTGCATCCTCCTCCATTAATCTTTCCGCGCAGTTTCTCTATACCCTCTAGCAATCAGAGAGCAATGGCAGTACGTTTATCCAAGCTATTGGAATCTCCTCAAATTCCAGAAAAGGCTGACGAAGTAGCTTCACCTCCATTGACGCCTATTTCCCTTTCAAACATGAAGTCATTGGTAGCTGTGTCTGAAGTAGCCCCCGACTCTAGGCAGATCAGAGGTTATTCAGCTACTCTTTAATTGCCTTAATGTGCAGCTATTTCTTATATGTTGGGTTGAAAAATCTCATTACCTCATTTACCTTCATTTAGGGACTAAATTACTTACATCTGCCCATCATGTTGAGAGAAACTTAGTCTAGAAAATGATCTGTTAATTTTCTTCAATTCGTGTGCGGGTGTGGATGTGGGATTGTTAACATTTTTGCAGATGCTTGAGGCTGTTTGGTGGTGGTCATTCCAACCTTTCATGACTTCTCAGGTGATAAAAATGATGGAGTTTGGTGGTGGGTCTTACATTCGGTTTTGCATTGCGGATTAATAAATCAAAAGAAAAATCTTCCTATCACAATGAACAGATCTGCAACATTAAATGCGGAGATTATATATTTTCAGCAATTTATCTGTCAAAAATCTGCAAGAACTTAATAATTGAATAGCTATAGAGTTCTTATGTTTATGATGTTTTATTTCACTGGTTATCCTGTTTATTATATCTGTTTCTGGTTCTAAATGTCAAATTCAGTTATTGCAGGTGGGAGCTGATAACGTTTGTTGAAGCTGTAGTTTTTAAATTCAACTGAGGCAGAATCTATTTCTCATCACCCATCTGTTGGGGTCAGGTCTGTAAATAATAGTTTTTCTCTTAATTTTTTAATGTTTGTTGTTTGTCGAAATTTTTGTTACCTTTTTTTTTATTTGATTGACAACAATGAGAACCGAGTTCTTCGCAATTTTGTCATTATAGTGGTCGCTGTGTTGTTATTTGTCTCAAGAGCAAATCTTGTTTTTTTCTTTCTTGGTTGGTTTGATTGCTACACTGTTTTCAGGTTTTTTCTTTTTTTCTCTCTTCAACAGCTAAGTTGGGGTGCATGCATTCATTCATTGATTTTGAAGTATATAAGTTTCAGTTTGTATCCTCTTTTACCTTTTAAACTTTTAGTCGAGCCGGTGATTTAATAGGATATCTGGGCAAAAGATTCAGCGCTCGAATCTTATCGTTTTTTTTTTTTAAATATAAAATTTGCAAGTGTTTGAACCTAGGAAACAAATATACATACAGATAAGGGATACAATGATTTGCCAAAATTTTAAAAAATAGAATATGATATGATTAGAATATGTACATACTAGGGATTTGAGAGATGATGAGATAAATGACGTTGTTTCAAAATGAAATAATGTATGTTGTTGACATAGATAGGGCTTGCATGGTAGTGTTTTGAATCCAATATTTCATATAATTTTAAAGCTGAACATGTTAGTTATTATAAATTTTATTGACTTATCTTTGACATTATTAAGTATGAGGGGAATGTATGTATCTATGTACTGCGGGCGGGAAAAATCCGCATATCAAATAAATATTCAGCAATGATAATTACTTTATTAATTTTAATTGTTGGGAAAATACAAGGTATAATATATTGTTAGCTTGATCAAAGTATCCCCATATTCTAATTAGTGTGTAGTGTTAGTATGAAAGCGACTTCTGAGGTTGGCAAGTGACACCTGGAATGATTGCTAGTGTGGAACAACTACATGTTAAGTGCGCCCTTACTACTTCATTCATTATCTTAGTTGTGCAACTGGTTCCACCAGGCCTGCTTGCTTGGTTAAGAGAGAGAGAGAGAGAGAGAGAGGAATGAGGCTAGACTAGTGATGAGCAAATGAGGAAGACACACATGCCAAAGCCTACTTATACATGTATATATCATTTCCTTCCTTCTCCTCCCTCCTATCACATCACACATCCATTCATCAAAGAAGTCATATATAGATAGAGAAATTATGCATAAATTCATGAAACTCACACCCAAACTAAGCCCCTCTCCTCTCAAGTCTCACACGCCGAAAAAGAAAAAGAAAAAAAAAAAGGTCTCCTGACTAGTCCTCAGCATCTGTCTGTCAGCACATATAATTAATACATGGATCGACTTCGTCTTGTGTAGTTTAGTGTAGTGTAGTGTATGTACTAGTATAGTAGGTAGGTGGCTTTACTTTGTATAATATTTGTGATTTCTGTCACAACTAGACTAGTGTTGCCTCCACTCTCTGGCCTCTGATACGGAATATTATGCTGTTTTGGTAAACTCCTTGGATGATTGCCTCCTTGAGTTATCACCTACCATGACAGACTTGATCCATGTACGTACGTGTCTGCATTTCCACGAGAGAGAGGGAGAGGGGATATATTTATGCTGGTTTGGGGGTGTCCGACATAACTACTACTGCACCCAATAAAGCAGCAAATGTTACCACTTCCTTCTGTCCTTTGTTTTTGATTCCTAATCCCTCCGAAAATGCTTTTACCATTTCACCCTTTTTCTTCTATATACCTTTTGTTTTTCTTTTTTGTGTATTATGTTGGTTATGGTATTAGGTTACGCATACTGGTATAAGTAATATTTAAAAATGTCGGTCGGGTCGGTCGGTCAGTCAACCACTGTTATATTACATAAAAGATTGAATATACTATATTTTAGGGGGTTTATCAATCAATGTTGCTTCTTCGTGGCTGGCTGCATAGCCCTCATGGAAGGATATATTTCTAAATTAATTTTTTTTTGTTTAATTTATCTGGGCTTGGCAAGTAATATTTTTTCAGAGAGCTTCACTATAGGCATCATTTATGAGAAAGGAGTGCATGGCATGGTGATGGTACTGTCTGGTGTTCCACCGACCAATCAGAAATTAGAACATAATGGCATTACATAATACATACAGTACGTACGTAGTAGTAGTGGCCTGTGCCACTACCCCCCACCGCCAAATCCGGGACTTTTATTTCATGCATCACCACCATTTAGTTTTCTTTTTGTTGATTTATGAATTTTCCTCCTCCCTCTGATTTCTTGCAAGCCAAGTAAGATTACAAAGTGGAATAAGCAAAACTCTCCTTTATTCTTTTTTATTTATTTAAAATTGTTTGCTGCCACGTGTACATCAAAGACCCTTAAAGAGCAATTTAATNAAGACACACATGCCAAAGCCTACTTATACATGTATATATCATTTCCTTCCTTCTCCTCCCTCCTATCACATCACACATCCATTCATCAAAGAAGTCATATATAGATAGAGAAATTATGCATAAATTCATGAAACTCACACCCAAACTAAGCCCCTCTCCTCTCAAGTCTCACACGCCGAAAAAGAAAAAGAAAAAAAAAAAGGTCTCCTGACTAGTCCTCAGCATCTGTCTGTCAGCACATATAATTAATACATGGATCGACTTCGTCTTGTGTAGTTTAGTGTAGTGTAGTGTATGTACTAGTATAGTAGGTAGGTGGCTTTACTTTGTATAATATTTGTGATTTCTGTCACAACTAGACTAGTGTTGCCTCCACTCTCTGGCCTCTGATACGGAATATTATGCTGTTTTGGTAAACTCCTTGGATGATTGCCTCCTTGAGTTATCACCTACCATGACAGACTTGATCCATGTACGTACGTGTCTGCATTTCCACGAGAGAGAGGGAGAGGGGATATATTTATGCTGGTTTGGGGGTGTCCGACATAACTACTACTGCACCCAATAAAGCAGCAAATGTTACCACTTCCTTCTGTCCTTTGTTTTTGATTCCTAATCCCTCCGAAAATGCTTTTACCATTTCACCCTTTTTCTTCTATATACCTTTTGTTTTTCTTTTTTGTGTATTATGTTGGTTATGGTATTAGGTTACGCATACTGGTATAAGTAATATTTAAAAATGTCGGTCGGGTCGGTCGGTCAGTCAACCACTGTTATATTACATAAAAGATTGAATATACTATATTTTAGGGGGTTTATCAATCAATGTTGCTTCTTCGTGGCTGGCTGCATAGCCCTCATGGAAGGATATATTTCTAAATTAATTTTTTTTTGTTTAATTTATCTGGGCTTGGCAAGTAATATTTTTTCAGAGAGCTTCACTATAGGCATCATTTATGAGAAAGGAGTGCATGGCATGGTGATGGTACTGTCTGGTGTTCCACCGACCAATCAGAAATTAGAACATAATGGCATTACATAATACATACAGTACGTACGTAGTAGTAGTGGCCTGTGCCACTACCCCCCACCGCCAAATCCGGGACTTTTATTTCATGCATCACCACCATTTAGTTTTCTTTTTGTTGATTTATGAATTTTCCTCCTCCCTCTGATTTCTTGCAAGCCAAGTAAGATTACAAAGTGGAATAAGCAAAACTCTCCTTTATTCTTTTTTATTTATTTAAAATTGTTTGCTGCCACGTGTACATCAAAGACCCTTAAAGAGCAATTTAATTTGCGGTGAATTTGGTATAAATAAATTTTGACATATATATATATATATATATATATCAAATGTATGTAAATCAGAAAAAAAAACATGTAAGTATTGGGTGTAATAGTGACACAATGTCATTGTTGATACGTAGTATCATTATCTAATACTAAACTTACATATGAGTAAAGTGGTAAGTTCTACTTGAAAAATTAATTTAATGACATGTCAGAGTAATTATTATATTAAGTTAGATGATAATAATAATCGTAATTTTTTTTTTAGAAGAGAGATGATATCAAATCAGAAGCGGGATGGCGTGCCGCACAGTGATTGGCCTCAATTTCTACTAAAAGACACAAACATTTCCTAAATATCAAGGGCAAAATCGTCTTTCCACCATCAACCAATCATATTCACGCAAGCTTTTTCTCACTCTGTAGATACAAACAAACAAAAGCCTAAACCCCCCCCCCCCCCTATAAAACCCCTCCACATTCTGTCCCCAGCACACACACTATCTCTCTCTCTCTCTCTCCATTCAACTTTCGGAGCTCAGAGCTCAACAACAACAATGGCAGACCCTGGTGTCTACGACTTCCTGAAACAAACAATGGAACCCTCCACCAGAAAAGCCACACAATCTTCCCGACTGTTCTCGTGCCTCTACTGTAATCGCAAGTTCTGTACTTCTCAAGCATTGGGCGGTCACCAGAACGCTCACAAGCGTGAAAGAGCTGCAGCTAGAAGAAGCTACAGCACAGAAGAGAGGTTTGGTCGACTCCAGAACGAACCCACCACGGTGGAGATGAACTTAAATGCTCCATACTGGTTTGACCCACTCCGGCCCTTCCAACACGGCTCCACCTCAGGCTCTGTTGGTGTTGTTCATGGCGGTGGTGTCTCCACTCGGGAGCCTCTCTCGCCCAACAATGACTCTGCTGACAACGAAAACGTTGACCTGACCCTCCGTCTATAAGTATAATCTCTCTCTAACTCCACTAGTACGTTAACTTGCTTTTGTTATCTCTCTCTCTCTCTTTTTTTTTTTTTGCTTATTGTGGGGTTTGGTTTACGTTACTCTTGGTTTTGAACTACTGAAGACTACCGAGCTTGAAAAGCGGGCATGGAGGAGAGTATTTGAGTTTTGGAGAGAGAAAGTTGGTTTTAGGGTACATGGCGAGTTGATGCTTCTTGACATTAGTTAGTTTACAGAGCTATCTATCTATCTATCTTGGTCTTAAGTTAATTGAGAGCTGTAACTATATATGTTCTACGTTGAACTTTATTTATGTTTTCATACTCTGACGTTGACGGTCGACGTTAATTAAAATTTTGCATTTTGCTCTCTTTCTCTCTCTCTCTCTCTCTCACACACACACACATATTTGAATGGATATACGTATATATCTATATAATTAGTATTCGTGTGTACGTTGTTGTGTTTAAAGCTTATATTTGTATGTTGTTTCGGATTTCTTGAGTGGTTTGGATTTACTTAATCATCATATAATGCATGTGTTTGTTTGTAGACTCTGTTAATTTGCATCTTATTAATTAATAGCTTGGAATATTTATTTATTTTACGGAAATCCCAAGTTCCGAACCATATATATATATATATATATATATGCCTTTGCGTTTCCTGTGTACCAACCAAAGTTGTGCCAACTGTGGTGTGGTGTGGTGTGGTGCTTGTTCATATATGACTGCGTAGTCGGTCGGAGCTTTTTGAGTAGCAGTAGCACAGTAAGTAACAGAGGCGCCACTGAAACCCGGCGTGCTCGGCAATCAGAATGTATTGTGCATTTGTGCTCAGTTTCGTAATGGACCCACTAGCCCAGTCCTCACATTTCTTTCTTTTTTTTTTTTTTTCTTTCTCTTACTTTTTAACTTGCTGGCATTACGTACCATAAATGGAGCTGATCAATGAATTTGAAACGGGTGGTGTGTATATCCTATAATACTTTATTATCATCAATTCATAGTATATATGTTTAATATCTATATAATATACTAGTTTATAATTTAAATTTCAAAAGATAAATAAAATAATTTTTATTTTTTCCGATTGAGATCACTTTAAAATTAATCCAACGACTAATATTAATACTTTAAATTTAATAGAAAAAATAGACCCCTAAAGGTGTGTTTGTGGTGACTTTTTAAAAATACTTCTAAAACTTATAATTTCTTATAACTACTTTAGACAAAAAAAATAATGTTTGAAACCTCCCCACCATTATCTCTACCACCACCAGTGCCACCACCGCCACCATCACCATCACTATCTCCGCCACTGTCGTTGCAGCTATTGCCACCACCATCACCGTTGTCACTGCCGCCACCACGGTTATTGCCACCAACCACAACCATCATCATCTCCTACCACCGCCACTACTGTCCACCACCTTTTACCTCCACTACAAATCGATGCTTAAATTCATTTATCTCTTATCTATGTTTGTGATTTAATTTTGAATATGAATACATATATTTTTATTGTTTACCATTTTTTATTATTTTTTGCCTTCAGACATAGACAATAACTAATATATAATAAAATAACTTGCAATTCAAATTTCAAAAAATAAACAAAATGATCGTTAGTTTTCACGATTCAGATCGTTTTTTATTTTACTTTAAAGTTAATCTAACGACTAATATTAACACCCTAAATTTAATAGGAAAAATAGGTCTTTAAGAGTGTGTTTGGAGTGACTCTTTAAAAGTACTTTTAGGAATTATTTCTCATAAGTATTTTTTTTTTTAAAATAATGTTTGAAACTGCCCCACCACTACATCTACCACCACCGTCGCTGCCACCACCACCGTCGCCACCATTATCGTTAGCGCCGCCGCCACCACCACCACTGCCTCCACCTTCGTCACCGTCGCCACGGTCATTGTCACCCACCACAACTCTTACTATCTCCTACCACCACCACTGTCACCTATCATCTCTCACCTCCGTTACAAACTAATGTTTAAATTCTTTTATCTCTTTTTTATGATTGTAATTTAATTTTGAATATGAATACAAATATGCTTATTGTTTATTATTTTTTATTACTCTGTGCCTTCAGACACAGACAATAACTAATTAATGTATATAGAAGAACTCCTTTTGTTTTTTGTTGTGTAGTTGTATGTTACTTACTATGTTTCTTCTCCCATCTTGCTTGGGTTAATTTGATTAAAAGTGGAAGTTTTAATTAATTGTTAATTGAATGAACAACAATGGACAAGAAGTAGTCTGAACAGAAAAAAACGATGGTCACTGTGCAGTGGGGGAGCTTAACGTAGGTAGGACTGGGAGACTAACAGATATACTGGCATAGAGGGTAGTAGAAGAAAAGGGATATATCATATATTCCTCCCAAGGAGGAACTAATCATTTCGGTATGTAAGTGCTTGAACTTGTGGCTTGCCACTCCAACTCCCAGACAATGCCACCTTCTTGGTCTCCCACTGTCTCACTGTAACAAAGTCCACTTTACTCCAATGGTATCATGTATGTACAGTGGACATTATGCACGTGTTACGCAACAACCCTTCCTTTAGAGGAAGACGGACACCAGGAAGGATAAATGGAAGTTTGGGCTCTACAAGAAGTTGGTGTTGCTCATATAATACTATATACAGATGTTTACTTATAAAGCTGATCATAGGAAGTATTTGATTCTACAATTAGATAAATAATACTTAATCCCGAGGATGCTGTAGAATCTTGTCAGTTGCTCTTACGGTAACCACAATCCTTGGTTCGAGTCATTTCATTGTATATGAGAAGAACTTCGGGCAAGAGAGGGCGTACATAGATATTGGCACCTATCATGTTTTACAGCCAAGGGTCAATTTGAGCCAAATCAGGGGCAACCACAGATAATGATGCTCGAGAGATAATGACAAAAATCACAATTTCGTGGCATCCACATTAATATAGAGAGAAGAACGATAAAAGCAGCAAAAAGTTATTGGATAGAAGCATCAATCTCACCATTCTGATTTATTGTGAATTTCAAACAAGGCGTTGCACAAATTGTCATCTTCGCCATCTATGTTGTAGGTGTTGATCACCTAGGGCAAATAAAAAATTTTAATTCAGCCAACATGGCCTCTCATTTCATGGCCTTTAATGTTATAAATGTTTGCAGACAGATATGTTACATGGCTATATCAGTTAACTTCTTTATATTCGCTAGGTTTTTACATCTGTTCTTTTCTTTCCTAAATGAATGATCCCTGGAATGCGCTAAACACATGGCTGTAGAGTACATCACCATAAGTAGAGGGCACGTCCATCCACGGAGGTGACTGAGGAGGAACGTAGGAATTCATCTTGGACAGGTGAGAAAAGATCAAATTTCAAATGTTGGGACTTGGGATTCAAAACCATGAGCTGCTTGATAAATCAACCGACTAAAAATATTTCTATATGGATCATTTTCTCTTTTCTCCTTCAAATAAGCAATGCTTCTCTCAACCTCTGACTTCACTTCTAAATACAGTTCATGTGATTTCTCCCTGCTCCTCAGTTCCTGTTTCCTCCCTGCAGCACGAAAGTTAAAGCTAGGTTAAAGAAACTGAAGAAAGTATTGCCATAAAAATCCAAAGGAATGTATTATTTCCCTAGAGCTATTGTAAAGTAAAAACCTTCCATTAGACAATCAATGGAACTCACTGTGACATGGAATACATGTATAGCAAGAATTTTTTATGCCAAATATTGGCTGTAAGGGTTACACTATGTCAAGAATGCTAATGTGGTGTAACCATTCAATAAGAAAACCACAAAACGGATAAAATGGGGCTCATTTTCTATCATGGAGGTGGTTATGTATTACACTGTTGGGTGATTATAAATTTTTATGGGGCTCACTTACAAACTTGTTTATGTATTAGTAGACAGATCACATGGCATTGTTGACGTGGTATAATGGTTACACCCATATTTTTTCCACTTGTACGTCCAAACATGAGGGTCAGTTGATAAATATACCTGCAGTTTCAATTGGCTTTCCAAACAAGTAATAAAAGCGGCCTGGAATTTTGGGTAAAACTCCTGGTAAGTGCACAGGTTGATTTGCAACCTCTCCTTCACTGTCAGTCCTGAAATCACAAGATTACAATGATTATTTGATAAGGTACATAACGATGAAAATAAACAATTTTGCAGCGATACAAGAGAAATATAACATACCAAACTCAGGAGAATTAAACAAAAATTGAAAACAGAATTTGTAATATGTGGACAGAATGTGATCATAATAGTGAAGTGACTCAATCAAACCTCATTTTACTACCTCAATTTCACAGCCTCGTCAGTTAGGTCCTCTATAAAAGCCTTCATATATGGAATCTTCATTTGGTCATCATAGTCAAAAAGCAACTGAGGAAACAAAAAATCCATTACTCGACAAGGAAATCGTCTGAAATGAACATTAGTCAAAGCGGCAACCTGTCTCATGCATCACATTTTTAAGTTTTCCACACAAGAAATAATAATAGACAATGAAAACGTATACAGTAATTCCATCCAGGATTTTGAGAAACTGCACCAAAATGAGAACTGTGACCTGCAACACCAAGAAAATGATAAAACCAGTTCCCCAAAAGAAATAATTTCATCTGATAGCCACATTTCTTTTCAACAAATGTTAATCAACATACTACAATTTCACCCAAGTTTTGCAGAAACTCCGGAAAAATAAAAACTTAGAAAACGATAAATCCAGTGCTCTAAATCGTGTCATGTCATCTGATACAGGAAGTGATAAAAGCTTAGTCAATTAATAAAGGAGAGAAGAAGAGAAGATTTTCTTTCAAATTGACCAAAGACATCTTTATTTAAAGCATAAATATCTGGTTTTTGCAATCCTATCCCTTTCTCAAAAGATTTAACGCACACCACCTCACTTCTTCCCAACGATGTAGAGATTGTTTACATTTCCTCTTGCTAACATCTAATCTCTCATTCACCCAACTTAAGTCGGCTCGGTCCCCAAATTTTAATCATTCGTTAGGAAATCTCTATAATTTTCTACCTCAGTGAGACTTTCTGTTTCAGGAATTCATCATCTTTCTGAATTTTGGTTGAATATGACCACACCAGGCAAGTCCTTTTCTGGCTATGACTGTATTTTCTAGTCCTTGAGTTGATATGTCATGACCAAATGAGGTAAAATGCATATCCATCTAATACTATAACTAGCAATTTGAATTACATATTTATAAAATCACAACAATGGTTAAGATTGATTTAATCTTCATCCAATTTCATCAAATGGTACAAAACTCATTCCCAAAAAAAAAATTCACGCCCAATGTCAAGTAACTCAACTAGCACTTACCTCTCTCCCCCCTTATTTTTCTCCTATTTTCTCTCTCTCTCCACTTTAATTGTAAATTGCATCATTATAGAGGAAAAAAAAGAAATTGTTATTTAAAATATAAATATTGTATGATCGACGCTCGATTTTTTATATTGCAAAATGTATTTAGGCACGGGGTTATTGTTAGTTTCAAAATATACTTCCATGCATTTGAATTTCTTTGACTTCAATAGATCCTATAATCAGCACCACCGAGGCCTAGTTTCACCATGCAACAATCCACTTCTTTTATGCATGTGTTCGCAAAATATGGTGCATAAGCCTTCACATTTGATACCTACATCTTTTCTGCAAATAATAAGGTAATAATAAGTTTGTATATCAGTCTATCACTGCTTAAATTTTATTTTGCATTTCTACTTTATGGATGTCAATTAGTAATATGCCTACTGTTCATTAGACCAAACATATATCATAGTATGTTTCATATCACCATAAGAGCTTACAGTACCAAAAACTAATGCAGTGGAAAGTAAAACTGGCGGTGAAGCAGCAGTTGAGGAAATTGAAGTTTTCAGACTTACTTGACCCATGTCATCTTCTCCAGCAACACCAAAAGGTATAATTTTGGCTCCAAATCTAGCTGCCATCCTGACAAACTCAGACTGTTCTGGCCAGAATAACTTGTAATCTTCACCCTGAATAGTGCTGAAGAGTCAACTACTATAAAATAAGTCCTGATCTCGTCCTATGTGCATTCTGTAATATAATAGGCTTGAGTACATGGATGAACACATTAGTCAGACCGCCAAATGTATCATTAAGACATGCACATTGGTATCTTTACATGAAAAACAGAAGAAATTTGCTCCAATAAAGCTGAATTTAAACAAATATTAGGGAAAGATAGGTATTGTTAGTTCATCAAGGGCATAAGTCCAAGATCTTTCCCATATTTTAGAAACTAGAATGATTGGTATCATAATTGAAAGAAACATCCATCAATACAGTATAAATCAAAGGTAGGATGGATCACTAAATCACCTTTCGATGAAGAGCCTCTCTCATGCCTCCAGGATACAGGAGGACATAAGACTTTGAGGAGAAAAGTCTATAAAAGTTAGTTGCTGACACTGGAACTGCACCCATAGTTCGGGCCGTATCAAATGTTGATAAATCAGGCAGTCTTCCTTCTCTCAGCTTGGTAAAAATCATTGGATGTGCCATCCCTCGCACAAGAATATTTCTTTCAATCCAAAAACGGGATATTAAAGGAACTGCTTCGAAACCTAGCAACATGTGGTAACCAACAAATAAAACTGGTCCCTCAGAAGGAATCCCTGCAAGGCCTCTTACAATCTTCCCATTTTCAAAAGTCGAGAGCATCACAGGACCACTAGCCAGGTCAAACCATCTGAAGTGTATAAAAATGCAAGACAATGAAGATTAGCCGATGAACATATCCTACTACTATTCAACTAATCACAAGATCTCCTCCACTAAATTGATCTGGGAAACTGGCAATCGTGCCGCATGCTGTCTAGAGTGGCATAAATGATAGGAGAGGCAAGCACAAGATATACATTTCCGATGAGAATCCCGTGTTTTCACATCCTAATTCTCTGCTTTTAAAATGAAAAGAACATTAACACGTTGGCTGACCAACAATCAGCATGTTAGCTACACTTGCATCTGTAATATTATGCCAGTTCCTGTCATTGCTCCTACAGTGGAAGAATTAGTTTCATTTGTGAGTTTATTGCAAATATCTGTTACCTCACATGTTCATATATCTTTTTGAATTCATGGGGGCTTGGTGGCAAGTAATCTGAGACATAGTCAAGGTATGTTGAACGGCGATAAAAACTGGCACCTTTAATAACAGTTACCAAATCAACACCTTCTTCCTGGTAAATATAAGAAAATTTACCATATAAATCAATCAGACATGAAGGAGAACATTTCCTGCGGGACTTTCTCTTTAAAACTCAGGAACAACATAACTTAACGACATTGCATCAGGAAAATAAAACTATAAATAAATCCAACGCTGTCCAAGATATAGTTTTATACCACCCAATGTTAGTTTCATAAATAACAGAAAATGTAATGTGACCCATCTGCTTATAAATGCAACAGCCTATTTGATGAGTTGCATATTGGTTAGTTAACAAACATATGTTCATACTAGCAAAGTTTCAAAAGGTATATCTGCCCACTTAGCCAAGGATAATGTTACAAGTAAATAGTGTTCAGCCTTTGTCAGAATGTATTTCCATTGAAAAGAAATTCCATTTGCCTGAGAGAATTAAAGAAAAAATTGCATCTGGAACAAAGTCCTATCTCCTTGCTATTGGAAACTTGGATCCACTATATAAATCATAACAAAATTGTAAGTTCAAAAGGTTCACTTTAGGGTTGCAAATTATTTTTGAATAACATTCAATTTATTTCCAGGGAAACAGTAAAACATTTATTAAGCTAGTTGGTTACAAACTGTGGCAGAAATCTTCTACCAAGGTCATACGTGAACAAACAGAGCATATAGCAAAAAATGCAATTGTACGTAACAACTTAATTTTTTTCCGAAAACAATAGTAGATAAAAATTCTACGAGTAGATAATACTTGAGTATACAAACTTGAGTTTGTCAACCTTTTGTTTTCAAATTATCAAGAAGCAACGTAAACATCATTTGCAAAGGTTTGTGACATGTATTGAATTTTTGGTGTCTTTTCTAATGGATTTTTTTTTAAAGTATCAGTTGGTGTCAATCTTCAGTTGGCACATCAGCAAGTGCATTAGTTTAGTTTCATAGAGGTGGCTTATATATATATATATAGACAGAGAGAGAGAGAGAGAGAGAGAGGACATCCTACATCAGCAAATGCATTATTTTCATAAAGGTTGCTACCAGGCACATACATGTAGATAAATAGATCAATATATACACACACACATAGAGAGAGAGGGGGGGAGAGAGAAATAGGAACCATCCTACCAAGAAAAGGGCATGGCCACTGTCATCAAATCTACGAATATCACATTTTGGCAGCATTTTGCGAAGTCTTTCACCCTCCTCTTGACTTGGTAGTAACCCATCCCTTCCACTACAAAAACGTAATACAATCCCTTTAATGTGGAGAAAAGTTAACACAATGTCAAACATAACATTGGTGTACAATAAAAGCTGAAGCAAGATTCAACCCTACTTTATCATCTTTAAGGGCGATGGCTTCAAATGAGTTTCGACACTTCCTTTATTAGTTTTCCAACATAAGTGGAAAGTTGTTTGTACTTGAATTTCTCTTTTGATTACTTTTGCTTTTGTATTTGTTGGATTTTTGGGTGGATTTCTTACTCACCATTTCTGCACTTTTTCATCTTTCATTGAAATGAAAGTTGTGATTCTTTTTTTTAAAAAAAAGAATCTCAAGCATACTAAATGTTAATGAACTCTTCCTATTCAGCCACGAAAAACTGAAAAAAGGCATAAAAAGGATGGGCTTCATTCTACGGAAGCGGCTACCATGGTAAGCTTATTTTTTTTTTTTANAGTTTTATACCACCCAATGTTAGTTTCATAAATAACAGAAAATGTAATGTGACCCATCTGCTTATAAATGCAACAGCCTATTTGATGAGTTGCATATTGGTTAGTTAACAAACATATGTTCATACTAGCAAAGTTTCAAAAGGTATATCTGCCCACTTAGCCAAGGATAATGTTACAAGTAAATAGTGTTCAGCCTTTGTCAGAATGTATTTCCATTGAAAAGAAATTCCATTTGCCTGAGAGAATTAAAGAAAAAATTGCATCTGGAACAAAGTCCTATCTCCTTGCTATTGGAAACTTGGATCCACTATATAAATCATAACAAAATTGTAAGTTCAAAAGGTTCACTTTAGGGTTGCAAATTATTTTTGAATAACATTCAATTTATTTCCAGGGAAACAGTAAAACATTTATTAAGCTAGTTGGTTACAAACTGTGGCAGAAATCTTCTACCAAGGTCATACGTGAACAAACAGAGCATATAGCAAAAAATGCAATTGTACGTAACAACTTAATTTTTTTCCGAAAACAATAGTAGATAAAAATTCTACGAGTAGATAATACTTGAGTATACAAACTTGAGTTTGTCAACCTTTTGTTTTCAAATTATCAAGAAGCAACGTAAACATCATTTGCAAAGGTTTGTGACATGTATTGAATTTTTGGTGTCTTTTCTAATGGATTTTTTTTTAAAGTATCAGTTGGTGTCAATCTTCAGTTGGCACATCAGCAAGTGCATTAGTTTAGTTTCATAGAGGTGGCTTATATATATATATATAGACAGAGAGAGAGAGAGAGAGAGAGAGGACATCCTACATCAGCAAATGCATTATTTTCATAAAGGTTGCTACCAGGCACATACATGTAGATAAATAGATCAATATATACACACACACATAGAGAGAGAGGGGGGGAGAGAGAAATAGGAACCATCCTACCAAGAAAAGGGCATGGCCACTGTCATCAAATCTACGAATATCACATTTTGGCAGCATTTTGCGAAGTCTTTCACCCTCCTCTTGACTTGGTAGTAACCCATCCCTTCCACTACAAAAACGTAATACAATCCCTTTAATGTGGAGAAAAGTTAACACAATGTCAAACATAACATTGGTGTACAATAAAAGCTGAAGCAAGATTCAACCCTACTTTATCATCTTTAAGGGCGATGGCTTCAAATGAGTTTCGACACTTCCTTTATTAGTTTTCCAACATAAGTGGAAAGTTGTTTGTACTTGAATTTCTCTTTTGATTACTTTTGCTTTTGTATTTGTTGGATTTTTGGGTGGATTTCTTACTCACCATTTCTGCACTTTTTCATCTTTCATTGAAATGAAAGTTGTGATTCTTTTTTTTAAAAAAAAGAATCTCAAGCATACTAAATGTTAATGAACTCTTCCTATTCAGCCACGAAAAACTGAAAAAAGGCATAAAAAGGATGGGCTTCATTCTACGGAAGCGGCTACCATGGTAAGCTTATTTTTTTTTTTTATCTGTAGCACACTTGTTGGTTCACAAATCTGAGAGTGCTATTCTGGTTAGTTCTTGGAACTAAGTTCTCATAATTGTCCTTTTTTAACACAATTGAAATAAGAAGGATTGGAAATGTGAAGAGTGAGGACCTGGAAAGCAACAATGTCTGAGCTCTGACAGCATGAAGTCGTGAATTGGCATGTGCAGAAGCCGATTTGAGCATTTTCAACTTCCAGAGAAGTGTTTCTACAGGTAAACTATCAACCAAGACCTGTGGATTTAAAAATGTATGATAAAGAAATTACAATCGAAGGTATTACAATAAAACCTCTATAAATCACGGTAAGCCCAAAGCAATCATCTCTTAGTGCGATTTACATGCTTTCATATTTAAAGTAGCACAGAAGATCATATTCTTGTTAAGAAGAGGGAATTTGAGTTCAGAAAAATTTGAGATGGGACACCAAAAAAAATCATGCGAGCCACCAAAAAAAGCATCCTTTAAATAATCTGCTGCTACATAACATCTCTTATAGATCTTTCAGCAGACAAACGAAAAAACAAAAGTCAGTTCAAATTCTATACATTTATTCATGTTCAAGATTTGAATCTTACAGAAAGATAGGATGACAATGCCATAACATTCTCCAATATCTCTCCAACTGTTTGTTGTAGAGGAAGTCCTTTTGCGACCGTAGCCATCACCATCCTTGAAGGGACACCTGGAGGTAACAATTGCTAGATCCATAAGGTCATTATCATATACAAAGTTCATATGCAATGAAACAAAAAAAAAATCTCACTCTAATTAATGGGGAAAAAAACAAAATTCATAAGAACCATTTGATGGTATCCATTAACATCAGATTCAGAGGGTGGCATGTTGTTCAAAACCTGTCCAGATTAAATGACCTGCTTCATAGAAAGATGAGGCATAAAGTCAAAGAACAATGTAAGCTGCTCACAAATGCCTGAACTTGGCTTGTTAATGAGATTGAGGAGGCTTGCTCACCAGTCAACTCACCCAAATCCAACCTCAAAATTTTAACCCGACTACTACAAAGCTGAAACTTGAGCAATAATAAACTACAGTTGATTAGGCTGGCTACTAATTAATATAGTTGTTCTTTAGCCAAAAGAAACAAATTACACGAAACAAGTGATGTATGGGAAAAAATTGAGTGAAATTTGGCATTTATTGCAGTCATTAAGTTGCAACAGTAAAGTTAGAATTGCCGGCTCAACTTGGGATGTTTCCAGCTTTCCACTCTTAGAATTGAAATACAGGTTTCCTCCCATGCGGACATGTCAAAGGAAAAATAATGGTCCTGTGCATTCCATCTATGCTTAGACATATAAATTCCTGGTCGGAAGCAAGAGGTGATAAAAAATCTCTTGACATTTAGTCCGGGGCTTTTCCAAAAAGATCTTCATTATGTGTGATAGTTTGATCACATAACAATATATGTGCGTGCCTGTCTATAGTATGTATGCCTCTTGTGTATCATGCACCATCAAGACATAAACTGAAGTCCAGAACATATAGACACAATATATGAAAACAGTGTAAGCTCTAACTGAAAGCACGGCATAATGAAATAACTAGCATAGCTAGAATAGATATTATGTGGACAGGGCAAGAGAACCTGTCATGAAACTCAACATGTAAGGCATGCTAATACGGAGCTGCTCAGGCACGACTTCTAATAAGGGTAGTAAAGGCTGAAGCTGGGACTTGCTGAAACATGTAGCTGCCAACAAAGGATTATGCAAAATCATTGTGCATAAGAAACTTTGCCCATTTTTTTTAAGATTCAATCAACAAGATACTGTCTTAAAGATAAATTTCTCACCTGGATTAGCCAAAATTAATACAAGATCAATATCAGGGTTATTGGCAGCAACAGCTAGTGCAAGGCATCCCCCAACTGATTCTCCAACTAGATATATGGGTCTTTTTGGTGAACGGTAGTTCTCTGATCTAACAGTTCTTTCAACCACCTTCACCAAGTCTGGGTCATTAAGTTTTTTCAAGCTAGATTAGATTTTTATTTACCCCAAAAATGAAGACAAGAAAAACACACACACATAAATGTACACATTAACAATAAAGCAATGAGCAATGTCTCTAATTTCAACCCATTGCCTGAGGTGCATTTGGATGTCCCTAGAGTATGAATGCCCCTAGTTGCATTCACTATTCAAATTTCCCCATCGAAATTGGGACAACTAAAAAAATGAGATTTACATCTAATGAGCCTAAAGGAATCAAAAAAGTATGACGGATGCTTTGGTTGGGATGCTGTATGTTGGGGCATAAAATTGTCCATCAGACTACATAAATGAAGCAACACTTTAAAGCTCCTAAAGTAAATCCTAAATCTCCGAGGCAAAAGAGAAAAGATAGTGTCATGGTGAAACATTTTGCAAAATCAATGCCGCAAAAAGATTGTGTACACACACACACACACACACAGAGGGAGAGAGACCTGAAAATGGTGTTCGGTCTGTAACAGGAATATGCAAGCACCATATATCAAAAATCCTTCACATTTAAAAAAACAAAGAATGCATTGATTAGGCATTGTAGCGAATCATATGAAACAGAATAAAAAACATACATAATGGCAAAAAATAACAATGAAAATCCTATATTAAAAACAACATTTAGTATTGACAGTTGATACTAAAGTATCTTCAGAAGTAACTTACTCTCCAAGTCTTTGATGCTGCAAAATAAGTCCAAGTCCGACACCATCAATCCCTGCAAAATTTAAGTTGGGAGAAAAGAACAAGAGAAGGATTATGAAACAGGAAACATATAATATGCAATTTCCTGATACATTAGCCCAATTACATGTATGTAGGCAGCATATAAGTATGTGATAAACATACAGCATACGTACATCCACATACATATACAGCATACATACATACATACATACATACATCCACACACAAGCCACCTACAGATTCATACAGAAATTAGATTTAAAGTGTGGTTCCCAAATTCCAATGACACGGTTCGTCTTGGTGGTTGAACTTCTTTCTGTGTTCGATTTTAAGTAAAAGTACTCCCATCGGACGAACAACCTTTTTCATCCAATGATCGCTAAATGATGATGTAAAAATGAAAAGTTGTACTACTATTCCGATACAAGTAATGAAAGTATCTGAGATTATAAGTTCACTCTTGTTTCAAAGAACAAATAGCAGAATAATTCAAAAAGAACATTAAAATTTTCCAGAGGACCACATACAAAATCTGTATTTATGCACTGAAAAAGAAACGGACCAGGTAAAAACAGCAAGAGAGGAGAGTTTTCCAAGCGAGACCCGCACTCTAAAGGCGTAAACCAACGAGGCGGTCCACCGTCCGACGATCTGGCCAACTCTTTTGACTGTTCAAAGTAATCCTTCAAGCTCAAACGGTGTGACTCCGAATCAGACTCCGACTCAGCTTTGCTTTCCGTAATGGTCTCAACTTGTGAGCTATTCACGAACCTCCCATTATTGGAGACATTGGTTGTTGAAGGCTGTTGCTCGCTTGACACAACTGGTGGCCTAGTCGTCGCTGACGACGCGTACACCCGAACGTTTCGTTGCGGTTTGAATCCTCCCGTGACAGACGATGTGTGGCGATTGTGGAACGGAGACAAACCGGCAGCGAAAACGCCAGCGACGGTGGTCGCCATGAAAGAAGGAATGGCGTGCGCACCGAGTCTGACTCGTCTTAAGTCTGCAACGTTCGAAGTTTGAATAATAATAATAAGGTCATTATTAATAAGTAACAAATGCTTGATTGAATAATAAAAGCGAATGGCCCGATTGATAACTAACAAATCATTGACTTATTATAATTCACTTTTATTTTTTTATACTATGGTCTTAAATATTCAACGTACTTCAATTAATTTCCTAATTGATGCGACAAAAAAAACAGGTCATCCTATCATTTGATAATGTTATTATTATTCACTTTTATTTAATAACAGGTAATAAGGTTCCAAACAACAATAATATAATTTTAATTACTACAAGATTTATAATTTTTTCAATGTACACTCCCTTCAATTCCTTTTACTGGTGTATAAAATGAGTGACACGGGATTTTTTTTTTTCCTTTTCAATGGGATATAAATATTAGGTGAATTTCTTATTTATATTATTATACATTATTACAATCAATTTAGGGGAGAGATGAATTGAGAAGTTTTTCTTCTATATTTATTTTTCTTTCGTTAGTGTTTAAATTTGTGTCAACTTTTATTTTGAATTCTGCTGGGTCAGGCCCAACCCATGTTATAAGCCTGATCTGAGCTAAAGGCCCAATTTTAAGAGATTCAGCTAGTTAAGCCCAAGGAATCTACACCCGAATAACTTTATCAAGATCAAAGAACTAAATCAGCAGGGGAGCATGCACGGTCATCTAAGAACTTCCGCCCAACCCATGTTATAAGCCTGGTCTGAGCTAAAGGCACAATTTTAAGAGATTCAGCTAGTTAAGCCCAAGGAGTCTACACCCGGATAACTTTATCAAGATCAAAGAACTAAATCAGCAGGGGAGCATGCACGGTCATCTAAGAACTTCCTCTACCACCTTGGAGTAAGGGTCATTTAAGAGAGTCATCCAAGAACCTCTTCTATCACCTTGGAGTAAGGGTCATCAAAGAGCCTCCTTTACGCCACCAAGGAGCATCCAGGAGCCTCACCCTCGCAACCTAGAGAAAGTCAATCTCTCTCATTCTTGACCAAGTCCTTTGGAGAGCACACCAACCGTCACACCTCGCCCGTTGAGAAAATGATAGATCTTCTACGCCGGATTAGCTACCTAATTACTATCAAACGGTCCTAAACCATAATGACCGTCAGAATAGTCATACAATTACTGCGCCAAACCAATATAAATTGTAAGCTTCTCTGACACTTAGGGGGCATCAGACTCATTTGAGCATAATTCTCTCATCCCCTATCAAAGCTTGTAATCATGTGTTCTCCGTCCACATTGGAGATAATAAAATTTCGATGAATCTAGCCATTCAAAGTGGACGTAGGTTGTATTGACCGAACCACTATAAATCATGTCTTCTCTCTCCTTCTACTTACTGCATTTTATACTACAACTTGACTGGTGGTGTGCAAACTAATTTGTGCATCATCAGTTTGGCGTCGTCTGTGAGAACGACAATTCTCACCTAGCCACTTTTCTTTGCTGAGTCAAAATCGATCACCAACAGATCCATGAATCAGTCTGAAGATAACCCACCACCAAGAGAGGAGGAGGTTGCTCATCAACCAACCAATCTTGCCCCAAATGAGCAGCAGATGCTCGAGACCATGCAGCAACTTGCAGCCCAGAACCAACAGATCCTACAACTAATGCTCCTTGGACGTTAAAGAGTTCCCTACATGGGTGCTCATCATCTAGGAAGAAGAGCACAACCTAGACCTCAAATCAGAGGAGCTTCACGCCCTGGGCATCAAGGAGCTCCCCAAATGGGTGCTCCTCATCTAAGTGCCCCCTTTGGAGCCCCCTCAGGCGCCCCACACAGAGGAGCTCCCCACATGAGACCTCCACCTCTTCTTCCAGCTCCCTCTTTTCATGATAAAGATCCTATTTTCCAAGAGGACGAGGGTAAAAATCAAAGCTTGGAGCATGGGAGCCATATCCATGGTAATTCCAAGGAACCTCCTCCTAATCATTAGGACAAAAAAATTAAGGAGGTGCAAAATCAATTGGGGTGATGTCTTCAACGTCATGAAAGCACGAGGATCCGAGATAGTGGATTACCTTGTAAGTCGAACCGACACACCTTTCAAACCAGACGTGGCGAACTACCCACTCCCTCAAAAATTTAAGATGTCATTCGTTGAAACCTTTGATGGTACGAAGGATCCATTTGACCACCTTGAAGGGATCCACTGGACAGTGGTTCGCCAAGATCACTCTCGCTTCCATCGGCTCATTTGCTGAGCTGAGCAAGTCCTTCGTGTTGCACTTTATTGGAGGACGTCGTCACCAGAAGTCTGCCACCCACCTACTCAGCATAAAGCATGACCGAGATGAGAGCCTGTGAAGCTACCTCACTCGTTTTAATGAGGAGGTCCTTCAGGTCGAAGAGTCCGATAAAAAAGTCAACATGACCGCCTTCTTGGGAAGCCTTCGGTCATCGAGGTTCCTTTTCTCCGTGATGAAACACCCACCAAAGAGTATGCCAGAACTATTGGTAAAAGTTTAAAAATTTTATGAATGTTGAGGAAATCAACAGGTCCAGACAAGGTGAATCATCTCACGGATCGCCAAAAGCTTGAACTGTCTCTACATTGTTCTTAAACAAGTAGTCTATCTTCAGTTTAGCGGCTCTCTCTAGGGTCGCCAAAAAATTTGGCCTACCTCTACACTGTTCTTAAACAAATAGTCTATCTCCAGCTTAACGGCTCTCTCGAGGGTCGTCAAAAAGCTTGACCTTGTTCTTAAACAAGTAGTCTATCCCCAACTTAACTGCTCTCTCAAGGGTCGCCAAAAAGCTTGCCTACCTCTGCACTGTTCTCAAACAGACAGCCTATCTCCAGCTTAGCGGCTCTCTCGCGGGTCGCCAAAAAAGCTTGACCTCTACACTGTTCTCAAACAAGCAGTCTATCTCCCGACTCTCTCACGAGTCGCAAAAAAGCTTGGCATCTGCTCTGCTCTCAAGCAAGTAGCCTATACCTCAAGCTTAAAAACTCTCTCATGGGTCGCCAAAAACTCGATCTTAAAAGATATAGCTCTCTTACGAGCAATCATCAAACTCTGTCTTGCTCTCGCTCAAGCAGTCTGCCTCTCTCTTCAGGTAATCATGTTAAATATTTTAATGTTTGGAATAACATTATTTTTATCATCATAAGCAGGTTCACCCATCTCAGTTCGGCGACATAGAACCGTTGGGGGGATGTGATAAGCAGAAACAATCCTCAGAATATTATGGAAGAATTTGGTTTTAAGAAGGTGCATTGAGAGGAGCTGGACCATCGCCGCTGAAAGTGTCTGGCGTACTTTGCCCCCGGGCTCCAGAACTAGGCTCGCCAAGAAATTCCTAGGCAACCCCGCTTGCATGGGTGAGAACTGAACTCTCTACAGGGGCATCCAAAGCTCCTTGGCTACTTGAACTCCTCGAATAATCCCCAAAAGTGGCACCCAAAATTTTCTTGTAGCTTGCACTACTCAACCCAGTGCCTAGAGAAGCGCCTGACCCCCTCTGTTCGCCCAAATGGGCAACCTAGTGCCTAGAGAGGTGTCTAGCCCCCTCTGCTCGTACAAGCGAAGTAGTCCTGCAGGCGCCCAACCATTTGTGCTCACCCAAAAGGGCGCCTCTTGGTGCCTTTACGCCAAGACCAGCCTTTTTTTTACCGCCCTGCTCATCAGGATCAGCACCCCTAGGCACCTGATGGACCAGATCAGCACGCCCAGCGTGTAGGCCAACATGCATGAAGACTCAGGCAGCCCCCTCACCTACTGCGCGAACTGTAGCAATGCACAGTGATGTCGCCTGCTCGTCTAGGTCCTTCTCGGCGCCTTCCTTCCCAGCTTCACGCCAAACCACCCCTCCTACACGAGTAGGCTGCTCCTTAAGATGACCTGGAGTGGCGCTTAGGTAATTCCCCAGCTCACCCAAGGCCTCTTGCTCGCCCAAGTTCCTCAAGTCAGTACCCTAAAAGGCGCCCAAGGCCTTTTACTCGCCCAAAATCGCGCGTTAGCTCGTCTGCTCGCTATTTTGACCATAAATTTTGCTACGTAAGTCAAAACGGGACCTATTATATATCAAATCGAAGCTCTCGACGAGATGAGCAAAACTCATTCCTTATGGTAATGAGCTTTCCAAAAAAAAGTTCAAAAAACATCCAGAAAGAGGTGTTTTGGCCTCCCAAAATTTTTTTTTAAAAAAACAAATTTGCTCAGGAGGTTGTATGCTTGCCTAGGAGGTGGCTTGATTGCCAAGGAGGTGGCCTGCTCACCCAAAAGCTGGTTGTTCGCCCAAAAATGCGCCCCTGACTCCTTGCTTGTTATTTTGACCGTAACTTTTGGTCTGTAACTCAAAATGGGGCTTATTATATACCAAATCAAAGCTCTCGACGAGCTAAGTAAAACTCATTACTTTTGGTAATGAGCTTTTAAAAAAAAAGTCCAAAAAAATTCAGAAAGAGGTGTTTTGGCCTCTCGAAGAAAAAAAAAAGCCTGCTCACTCAGAACAGTGCTCTGCTCGCCTGAACAGCTGTCTGCTCGCCCAAATTGCTCGTCTAGCTCTCTGTTCTGTTGCTTGACATAAGGCTTATAATATATCAAATTGAAACTCTCGACGAGCCCTACAATACTCATAGCCTGTGGTTGTGAATGATGCTGTTAAACGTCCAAAAAAGACCTATAAATGGATGTTTTGGCCTCCCGAATTTTTTTCAATTATGCCGATCAATCAAAAATTCAAATTCAACTTAAATGTCCTCCTTTCCAAGTTCTATTGGACACAGGGCACTGGGGGGAAAATGATAGGCTAGGCCCAACCCATGTTATAAGCATGGTTCGAGCTAAAGGCCTAATTCCAAGAGATCCAACTAGTTAAGCCCGAGGAGTCTACACCCGGATAACCTTATCAAGATCAAAGAGCTACATCAGCAGGGGAGCATGTACGGTCATCCAAGAGCTTCCTCTACCACCTTGGAGTAAGGATCATCCAAGAGCTTCCTCTACCACCTTAGAGTAAGGGTCATTCAAGAGAGTCATCCAAGAGCCTTCTCTACGCCACCAAGGAGCATTCAAGAGCCTCACCCTCGCAGCTTGGAGAAAGTCAACCTCCCTCATCCTTGACCAAGTTGCCCATTGAGAAGATGATAGATCGCCTCCGCCGGATCAGCTACCTAATTACTATCAAACGATCCTAAACCATAATGACCGTCAGAATAATCATATAATTATTACGTCAAACCACTATAAATTGTAAGCTTCTCTGACACTTGGGGGGGACATCAGACTAATTTGAGCATAAATTCTCTCCTTCTCTCTCAAAACTTGTAATCATGTGCTTTCCCTCCACACCGGAAATAATAAAATTTCAGCGAACCTAGTCATTTAAAGTGGACGTAAGTCGTATTGACCGAACCACTATAAATCATGTCTACTCTCTCCTTCTACTTACTGCATTTTATATTACAACTTGACTAGTGGTATGCAAACTAATTTGTGCATCATCAAATTCAACGACTTGTTTGAATTGGATTAGATTTATTTTTTTGTCAAGCTTCTCACTAATTATATTTTGTGACATTTTTCATTTAACCACAGCCATCTACCCCATTCAAAAAAATTTAAAAATATTTATTTGATTATTATAATTTATATTTAATATGCCAAGTAATGGTAATATAAAAATGGGAAAAAAAAATTTTAAAAATCACAAAATCGACCGCCTCCAATAACTAAATAAGAATGCAAGTTCAAATTGTTTGCTGAATGATAATACTTATAAACAAAACAAAACCAAACCTCAAGGTTGTTGAGAAGAAGACAAATAGCAAGAGTGGACAGCCCACGTGCTTTCCCAGTGTTTCACTGAAACAAACTTTTCCTACCTTTTTTAAATGTTTGGGGAAGTACACTACAACCTTACAAATCAAACAAACTTTTTCTATCCTTTTTTTAATGTTTGGGTAAGACAAGATTACAATTAAACAACAACTTTATCATTATATTTGCATTAGTCAAAAACATTACAGCTGGGGATTACGTGACTGTTTTATTTTATTTGATTGTGGGGTCCCACAAATCATAAGGTAATACTTTTTCCGTAGAATCCTTATTGCACCATTGAATTCCTAATTAAAGTACGGAGCGAGTAATTGACAACTTCTACGAATTATTTTCATGGACTACCTTGTGACCGGGAGATCTGTCAATTGAGTGAATTTTGATTTCAATTTAGATCCGATTCGAACTTATTTAATTAGATATAAATTAATATTTTAATATATTTATTTGAATTTGATTAAATTTTTTTAAATGGATTTAAATTCGAATATGTATAAATTTAATCTTATCTAGTATGTGTATGTGTGTATATATATATATTTATTTATTTAATGAAGAGAAATTATTGTATATACACATACTTAGTTAGATTATTAATGAAATTGATATAAAATTAAACAAAAATTATTAAGTAGAATCATTGGTTTATTAAATTAGGTTAATATTAACTTAAATTTGGTACAATTATTAAATTCTTTTAATAAAATTTTATTGAAATTTAAAATTTTAGATCAGATCAAATATTCTATTATTAACGAATGCAGACATTAGTTACGATTTTAAAATTACTCAAATGAACCGATCAAATTCAATCCTAGTGACTGACAATTCTAGTGACTGGTGGCCCATGGCCTTTTTGTTTCTTTCTCTAATCAAATGTAACATTTAAAGCAGATTTGATCTAAGAATTAACAAAACCCATCTCAATTTTGCAAAACTAGTACTACTCAATCTTAGACTATTGAGCAAAACTAATGATATTAACCAGCTACTTGCCTGTGATGACCCATGTATACATATATAAATTATTAACACATTAATTAGGTTATTAATTTTAATTCTATATAATTAAGAATTATTTTTTAATATATATATATATATATTGGTGTATAAATAAATAATAAAATTTTTAAAACAAATGGACCCAAAATATGGACTCTACGCGTAAAAATAAGTTATATGATTATAATTTAAGTCAAATATCGACTATATCTATATGTATATATATAGATATATTTATGTGGAAGATACTATTCTAAATTTTTACAAGATACCATGCTAGATTTGGAAACGTGCTAAAAGAAAAAAGAAAAAAACTAAAGGGTTGGGAAGAAAATGGACGGCTGTCCATTTGATGTCACCATGACATAAAGGCCAAGCATTGGCTGTAAATAGCCAAGCTCAGGCTAGGAAAACGCCGAGAAGAGAAAGGAAAGAAAGGAAGGGAAGGAGAGAAAGAGACAGAAAAAAAAAGGGTTAAAATTTTGTTGACATAAGAGTTTGCAGTTGGAATTAAAATTTTGGATAAGATTTTTAGTTATTATTTAGTCAACTCTATAGGTTCGAGTTTGTTAAATTTGATCATCATTAAATATTTTTGACCAAATTTAAGTATCATTATTTTTCATTAGTTATTCTAAAAAAAATAAAAAATTATTTTAGCTTAACTAAGCTCTTATTACCTATTGTTATTCTAAAATATTATTTTGGTTGTTTTGTCACAGTACACGGTATCGAGTAGAAATCAAAGTAGAGGTAGAGTTTCTTTTATCTTTTATTATCATTAATGCATTTTATGCATATTTTGGGGTTTCATATCAAATCTATTTTTTTTATAATGTAATATTATATCGTTATAATCTTGGGGTCAAACTGGAGTTTTATAAATAAATCGTTATCATGTACATATTGTATTTTTTATCGAGACCCTAATTATCTCATGAAACCATGTTGCATAATAAATGTTTATTTCATTATTAATATTTAATGTTTGATTTGTTGTGGGGTCTGACTACGATATGACTTTATTTTGTAATTAAATGAATGCACATAATCAAGGGTAGAGGGTTAGTAGATGCGTGATCCTTGCGAGGATTCACAGGATTCTTACTAGTCCTTGGGTTCACCGATTAGTAATATCAATTTGCCGTGATAGCCTGTGTGGCATCACACAATTTCCAGTATTGGTGTTTCTAGAAAAGCAAGAAGGGCATTGAGTTTCCTAAGATGCAAGATTCCAAAGTTTTCTCCATAGACGGTTCATGTATGGACCAGAAAATTGACGGATTGTTATGATTGATATGTGCTAAAATTTATTTATTTATTTGATTTATTACTTTACTCTATTCCTGCATTTCTTTACGGTTTAATTATATTATGCATTGTTTTAAAACTTTGGTAATCATTGATAAACATTATCCTACTGAGCTGGTGAGCTCATCCCTATTTAACATTTTTCAGATATATGAAGTCGAGCTGGAGGATAGGTTAAAAAGATGATAAATAGAGTCTGTTATTATTATTTCTCCTTATGTTGTATCAAAAATATTTGAAATGATATTATGAGGATTATGTATTCGTAAGCAAAATAAAATAATATAAGAAAGATTATTGTAAATTTAGTGTGATTTTATTCCTTAATCACGCCCGTATATTTACTTTTAAAAAGAAAAAAAAAATCGGAGTGTGACATTACCTCAAGCTCGGTTGGGATTGATATGCAAGCCAATTACACACACTCTTTTACATTCGGATAGTTATTTAAACTTATTAGACCATTCTGCTGCTTCATGGCTAATTTCAAACGAATGTTTCATAAATTGTCATCTACATTGTTATTGTTGATGATCTGGAGCAAATCTCCACTGATACATTACAAAAAACCAGAGCAATATAAAATGGCTTCTCCTTTCATGGTCTTTAGTGATACAAATGTTTGCAAACAGCTATGATACATGAAAACCTCATTCGTTGTGCCCCCAATTTTTATTTTTTTTATTCCCTATGATTTTTTAATCTGTTCCTCCTTTACTAAATGAATGATCTGTGGAATGGGCTAAAAACATGACTATCGAGTACATCACCATGTGGTGAGGTTAAAATCCCTATCAGTAAAAGGCAGGTGAAAACCTTCCGTACGTACGTCCTTCAAGTGTTGGAGGGCACCTCCATCCAGACAGGCGAATGAGAAGGGAAACAGGAGGAATTCATCGTGGACGGGTGAGAAAAGATCAAATTTCAAATGTTGGGACTTCGGATTCAAAACCATGTGTTGCTTGATAAATTAACCGAGGTATTATATTCCTGTAGGGGTCATTTTCTCTTTTCTCCTTCAAATAAGCTATGCATCTCTCAACCTCAGACTTCACTTCTAAATACAGTTCATGTGATTTCTCTCTGCTCCTCAGTTCCTGTTTCCTCCCTGCAGCACAAAAGTTAAATCTAGATTAATGATAATTGACGAAAGCTATTGACATAAACATTTAATGGAATGTACCATTCACATGACAATCAATTGAACTCCATGCTGATAGTGGACTTTAGTACAATGCATACCTAATATTATGTGCCATGAATTTTTTTCGACATATACATCCAAACATGAGGGTCAGTCGACAAACATACCTTCAGTTTCAATTGGCTTTCCAAAGAAGTAATAGAAACGGCCTGGAATTTTGGGTAAAATTCCTGGTAAGTGTACATCTTGATTTGTAACCTCTCCTTCACTGTCAGTCCTGAAATCGCAAGATTACAATGATTATTCAACAAAGAACATAGCAGTGAAAAGATTTTATACCGATACAAAGAAATATAACCATATAAAGATTGATTACTGGACATTATGTGATCAAAATAGTGATGCGACTCACTCAAACCTCATTTAGTTAAATGAAGGTGCTACTCATATTTCAAAGAAAAAAAATTTGGGAGTTCCATCGTTTCTTTCTTTGTTTCACAGCCAAAGCAAGAAAGAGGGAGGGACAAAGATGTTGGGGGCAAGACAACTTATAATACCTCAATTTCACAGCCTCGTCAGTTAGATCCTCTATAAAAGCCTTCATATAGGGAATCTTCATTTGGTCATCATAGTCAACAAGCAACTGAGGAAACACAAAATCCATTATTTGACAGGGAAATCCCCTGAAATTAAAATAAGGAAGCCAAAGCAGGAACCAATCTCATGCATCACATTTATAGGTTTACATTTCCCCATAATTTTGCAGGAAACTGCACAAAAATAAAGAATCACAAACAGTAACAAGAAGAAAATGATAAAAACCGGTGATCCAAAACTTAATAGTTTCATGTGATATGGAAAGTGATAGAAGCTTAGTCCTAAAAAGGGAAAGGAAAGTAAAAAAAACAAAATTCAATAGATTTTAAACATTTCTTAAGACAAAAATGACAATCAACATACTATAATTCCTCCCAGATTCCTGCACAGGCTTCATAAAAATAAAGAACTGAAGCACCACGAAAATGATAAAACCAAAGCTCCAAAACTTATAAATTCATCTGATACGAAGTGATAGAATCTTAGTCCAAGAAAACGGAAAGGAAAGAAAGGAAAAACAAAACATAAAAGCTTAGCCCACCAAGAAAATGATAAAACCGGTGCTCCAAAACTTATAATGCCATCTGATATGGAAAGGGATAGAACGGTAGTCAAAAAAACAAAGGAGAGAAGGCTCCATAGTGCCCAACTGAAAATATTTTGGCCAGTAGAACAAATTTTATTTTTCTTTCAAATTGACCTGATCCATGTTTTACTTAAAGCATAATGCTTTATATACCTTTTCTGCTTTTTTATCCTTTTCTCATAACCTGCAATTCACACCAACTTCTTTTAAATGACGCAGAAGTTGTTCAAATTTCCTCTTGCTAACATCTAATCTCCCTTATGGTCACCTCAGGTCTACTCGGGCCTTAATCATTCCTTAGGAAATCATGTCTTAATGAGTTTTACATTTTTGGGAATTTATCATTTCTTGGTTGATTATGAACAGGAGTCAAACCGTTTTCTGGCTATGACTCTAATTTCTAGTCCTTGATATGTTATGACCACATGTGGTGAGATGCATCTTGCAATTTATGCATCCATGCATTCAAATGTTGTTGACTTCAATAAATCCTATAATCATCACCAATGAAGCCTAGTTTCACCATGCAACAGTCCACTTCCTTGATGCTATGTGTCTGCATACATGGGGCATAAGCCTTCACATATGCTTCCATACCTCCTTACTGCAAATGATGAGGTAATAATTTGCGTGTATGTCCATTCTATCACTACTACTAAAATTTTATCTTGTGTACCTTTTTGTAGGATGTCAATACCTAACATGTCTACTGTTCCTAGAACAAACAAAAATTCCATAGTCAAGTAATTTTCTAATTCTTGTAAAAGAATAATGTGTTCAATACCACCACAGCAGTTGAGGAAGTTGAAGTTTTCAATCTTACTTGACCAATATCATCTTCTCCAACAACACCAAAAGGTATAATTTTGGCTCCAAATCTAGCTGCCATCCTGACAAACTCAGACTGTTTTGGCCAAAATAGCTTGTAATCTTCACCCTGAAAAGTACTGAAGAGTCAATTATTGCATAATCAGTCCCAATTTATTGTTATATGTGCATTCTGCAAGATATTTCATGTGTGCATTCTAATAGACTCATCAATAAGACTAAACCTGTCATTAATACATGCAAATTGATATCTCTGCATAGAGAACATCTAAAATTTGCCCCGGTGTAGAAGTTAAACAACTTTTAGGGAAACATTGGTATATTTAAGACATCAAGGGCTTAAATCCAAGATTCCCCACATTTTAAAAAACTAGAATGATGGGGGTCAAAATTGAAAGAAACAGTCCAATATCAATCAACGTGGGATGTACCACTAAATTACCTTTCGATGAAGAGCCTCCCGCATGCCACCAGGATACAGCAGGACATGAGATTTCAAAGATAAAAGTCTATAAAAGTTAGTTGCTGACACAGGAACTGCACCCATAGTTCGGAACGTATCGAATGTTGATAACTCCGGCAATCTTCCTTCTCTCAGCTTAGTAAAAACCATTGGATGTGCTATCCCTCGCAAAAGAATGTTTCTTTCAATCCAAAAACGGGATACTAAAGGAGCCAATTCAAAACCTAGCAACATGTGATAACCAACAAACAAAACTGGTCCCTCAGAAGGAATCCCTGCAAGGCCTCTTACAATCTTTTCATTTTCTAAAGTTGAAAGCATCACAGGACCAGTAGCCAGCTCAACCCATCTGAAGTTCATAAAAATGCAAAGACAACAAAGATTAGCTGTTGAACATACCCTAGTACCAATCACAAGATATCCTCCACTAAAATGATATGGGAAACTGGCAATTAAGCTACAGGCATTGTCTACAACTGGCATGAATGATAGAAGAGGCAAGCACAAGGAATAAATTTCTGATGAGAATCTCCTACTTTATCTCACTTGAGATAGATGTAAGTGAAAGGGATACAAACTAAGTGTAGAGCCCCCGTATATATAGTCAATGAGAGTTACAATAAGGACAAAAAGGTAAAAAGGAAAATTTAATAAAACCCTAATAAACTAGGCTGCTTCTATATCTCCAACACTCCCTCTCAAGCTTGGCGCAAAAAATGTCAAGTCAAGCTTGACAACGGAGTCCCAAATAATAGATAGAGGGACAGGTTTGGTAAAAATATCCGCAACCTGATCACTGGTCCCCACGAACGATGGAGTGACAATACCACTACTAACCTTCTCCCGAAGAAAGTGAACATTAATCTCTATATGTTTCGTCCTCTCATGTAGTACAGAGTCAAAAGCAAGCTGAATAGCAGATCGATTATCACAATATAATGTGGATGGAGAAGTCACTGAAAATCCCAATTCACCAAGAATCGATCGTAGCCAGATAATCTCACACGTGCCAAGTGCCAAGTGCCAGTGCCAGTGCCCGATACTCTACCTCTGCTGACGAGCGGGAGACAACTGCCTGCTTCTTACTCTTCGAAGAGATAAGATAAGTCTCTCGAAAAGCACAGAAGTCCGTAGTAGATCGACCGTCACATGCTCCCCCATAATCTGAATCTCAATAACAGGCTAGAGAACCGGATTGAGATCCTGATGCATAGAACAACCCAAGTCCAGGACAAGACTTAAGGTACCGAAGAATATGATAAACTGCATCGAGATGAGGCTGACACGGCCTGTGCATGAACTGATTAACTCGGCTGACTGTGAATGAAATGTCTGGCCTAGTGTTGGCTAAGTAGATAAGTCTACCTACCAACCTCTGATAAACTGTCGGATCTCTCAACTCCTTACCTTCAGCAGTAAGCTTCAGGTTTGGAATCAGGGGTGATGATGTCGGTTTACACCCCAGCATCCCAGTGTCTGAAAGAAGATCCAAAACATACTTTCTTTGAGAAAGAACAACACCCCTGCTGCTGCAAACAACCTCAATCCCAAGAAAGTATCGCAAAAATTCAAGGTCCTTCACATCGAAGGCCTTCCCAAGGTCTACCTTGACCTGCGCAGTCCCATAAACATCATTACCAGTAATAATAATATCATCAACATATACCAGAAGGATGACACACTGTCTAGAAGTATTCCGTCAAATAAAGCAGGTATGATCAGAATGACATCTGGTGAACCCCAAACATATGACTACATCACTAAAGCGAGAGAACCAGGCTCGTGGTGACTATTTCAGTCCATAAAGAGACTTACGCAGTCGACATACCTTTCCAGCATACTCCCCCTTACCACGAAAGCCTAGTGGTGCATCTATATAAATAATCACGTCCAGATCACCGTGAAGAAACACATTCTTCACATCTAATTGATGAAGAGGCCAAGAGTACTCCGCAGCCGAAGAAATAATCAACTGAACAGTAGTCAATTTTGCCACGGGGGCAAATATAACACCAAAATCACGACCTGATACCTGAGTAAAACCCTTTGCCACAAGCCTAGCCCTGTGACGATCAATAGTACCATCCGCAAGAAACTTCAGGGTGTAAACCCAGCGACAACCAACAGACTTCACTCCTGAAGGTAAAGAAACAACATTCCATGTATGATTATGCTGAAGAGCGTCTATCTCTGTCTGCATGACAAGAACCCATTGGGGCTCCTGTATAGCCTCCGAAATAGAGCGAGAAACTGGCGTATCTGATAAGGCCATACTATAAGCTCGAAATGTAGAAGACAAATCACCATAAGAAACATAAGTAGAGATCGGATAAAAAATCTTGGCGGTCCAACCATAACGATCAACTGGATGACAATCACGCCGCGGATAACGATGCTCTAAATCATCATCCTCCACTGATAATGTCTCATCAGGTAAAGGAACTGGCTTAACACCTACAAACTCATCAGTACTAACAACAGGTGCATCAATATGCTCAACAAACTGAAAAGTATTACATGCATCGCTTGAGGTAGAGGGGACATCAGCAGGGTGATGAGAGCGAGGGTGACAAACATACACCTGCAAAGGAAGAGAGACTGTTGACTTTGTACTGACAGGGATGAGTGGCTTCAAAGGAGGAGAGATTGATGACCCTGTAGGGATAGTGACCAATGACTCTGGCTCTTGTGACAATGGAAAATCAGAGAGAGTATCATCAACTGAAGAAGCAAACACAAGACTAGAAGGAAAATAAAGAATATGCTCAAAAAAAGTAACATCTAGACTGTGATATATACGGCACCCAATAGGATCATAACACCGATACCCCTTAGATTGATGACAATAGCCCACAAAGATACAACGAATCGCTTTATCATCAAGTTTATGACGAGTAGGAGATCGATCCTGAACAAAACATGTGCATCCAAAAACACGAGGGGGGACCGAAAAAAGTGTCCGCTCAGGAAATAAGACCTGTAAGGGAGCCTTATGCTGAAGAACACGACTCGGCGTACGATTGCACAGAAAGGTAGAAGTCAAAACAGCAAAATGTCAATAAGATTTTGGTACTCTCATGCCTCTAAGCATATAACGTACCATCCCTATCAAACTCCTATTTTTTCTTTCAGCAACACCATTTTGCTCAGGAGTATATGAACAAGTGAGTTGCTAAAGAATACCCTGAGAAGAAAGATGGGACACTAAAGCATTAGACACATATTCTTTGGCATTATTCGAACGAAGAGCATGAACAATGACATCAAATTGTGTCTTAATCATCTGTAAAAATTGAGTAATTATAGGGAATACATCAGACTTTCGATGCAAAAGGTAGACCCAAGTACAACGGGTATGGTCATTTATAAATGTCACATAGTATCGGGTATCTGACAGAGCAGTAACGGGAGAGGGTCCCTAAATATCAGAGTGTATTAGGTCAAATGGCTTGGGTGACTGGTACATGCGAGGAATATAACTGGCCCTAACATGTTTCGATAGAGAACATATAACACAGTCAAGTTTACCATCAACACAAGCATTGGTCAAAGCAGAAAACAACATACATAAATATTTAAAATTTGTATGTCCAAAACGGTCATACCACAACTGAATAGTTTGTGACGAAAAATCATAACAACAACTACTAGGTAAAATACTAACATGCAAGTTAGGAACAAATAAGGACAAAGCAAGTGCTGGTGCAGTTGATATAGGTGGAGGAATTGGTGAAACTGGAGGTGAATTGCCAAGATAATACAGTCCATCTTTGTCATGTCCCCTGATAATAATCCTCCTGGTACTCAGGTCCTGTAAATAACACGAATCAGATAAGAATACAACCGCACAGTGAAAATCTCTGGCTAACTGATGTACAGATAATAGATTCATGGCCAACTTTGGCGCATGAAAAACCGAACGTAATGTAAAGCCATTTGAGAGGCGGACTGTTCCCCTACTAACAATAGGGGCATGTGTTCCATCTGCTAACTGAATCTGTGTATGTAACTGCTCGTCAAAAGTGGTGAAGTGATGGGCCGCACCTGTCATGTGACCATTCGCACCCGAGTCCAACATCCAAATGGGAGATGAACTAGCACAAGTATGAAAGGCACGAGGTATACCTGTAGGGGCAGCAGCAGTAGTCAGACTCTGAGAAGTCAGAGCAGACATAATTATATCTAATCGGAAAGTGATAGCATCTATATCACTCTGCCAAGGAGCAGCCGCAGGAGTAGCGGTAGTGGATGGTGGTACCTCAGCAATAGCAACAGTACAGTTGCGAGGAAGCGGCTTAAGCTCTGGATGGAGCTTCCAGCAAGTAGCCCTGAGATGTCCTAGTCGGCCACAATAATCACATTGATGAGAATTCCCCTGTCTGCGCTGATCTGGGACACCTTGACGGCACTGGTCCGAGCGCTGCCCACCCCTGACTGAGGATCCTGAATGAGACCCAGCAGAAGCTGCAAGGGCCATCTGGTCAGCCAAAGGAGTCAAAGCCGCAACTGGAAATGATGCAATATGGACTTGGCGCTCATGCTGCTCAATCATCCCATACACCTCATAAAGAAAAAGAAGTGTCAACATCGACAAGATCTGAGAACGAGGACCCTCAAACTCATCACGAAGCTCCATAAAGAACTTGTGAATCCTATCCTCCTGCTCTCGAGTATGCAAGAATGTTGCTCCCTCGAGCTCTATCCTCAGAATAGCAGTAAGAGGACGTAGAGTCTCATACTCAAGCCAACGCTGGGTCAAATAACCATAATAATCCTGAACAGTCATATCTCCCTGCCGAGCATATGAGAGCTCCTGAGAAAGCTCATAAACACGAACTCCCCGTCCTGACTGAGAATACATCTCTGATAATGCGCTCCATAGCTTCGGAACAGAGCTATGAAACTGATGGATCCTGCAAACAGAGGGCTCCATTGAGCCAAATAACCATCCAAGAATGACACAGTTTTCAGAGAACCACGCAGAATATCCAGGGTCGGCATCAGCTGGCTTTGGGTGAGATCCCGTCAGCCAATCAAGCTTCCCTACACAGCCTAAGAAAAGCTGGAATGAGCGAGACCACTCAGCGAAGTTACGACCATTCAACAACTATGCCGTAACTTTCTGAGAGATCATGCCCGGTAGTGCTGGTAATGCAACTGTGCTAGTAGGTACTGTATACTGGTCAAACATAAAAGTGAAAGTACCCATGGATGTCTCAACGGTAGAGGTGTCAACAGTAGGGGTCTCAAGTCTCTCAGTAGTAGTAGTCATATCAACAATAATACTAGAGCACCCGTGACAGAAAAAATAACTCTAAGATAAATAGAGGGATAAAATAGGGGAGAACAATATACCTCTAGTCGAACAGTAGCGACAAATAAAGAAGGTCCAAAAAACTCCCAAATAATCAGGTCACGATGCTCAGAAATCCAGTAAATATAAATAATCTAATGCATCAAAAGCAAATCAACAGACGGAAAAAAAGAGGATTCAACCCCTCATAAAAAATCCTAGAATGAAGTCACAACGAAAAACGCGACCCAACAATGGTGGGTTATTTCGCTAGAGTGGACAGTGGTTCGCTAGAGTGAATAGTAGCAGCAGTAGGCTGGTTCGTTTAGTTTATGGGCTGGTTAGTTTATTATCAATTGTTGATGGGTGTATTCATTTCACTCGAAGCCGCTGATCAACCAAAGAGAGCTCGCCATGGGGAAGAGACCTGTAAGGTGTTATCGCCAGATCAAGAACAAGCCATACCCAAAGTCACAGTACTGATTTTGTGGGTGCTGTTGGTGGGTTTTTCTGGGGCAGTGGCTGTAACGTGGTGCAGTCGGTGTGATTTGTGTTTTATTGGTGAAGTGGGTTCTGGTTTTGATAACTGGCTGTAGCTAGTTCAGGGTGGCTGGGTTCGCTGGTTCAAGGTTAGTTGGGTAGTGGATTGTGTAGTGGGACTGGGGCTTAGTTGATGACTGTTGCTGAACGTTTGGGTTGTCGCCGATTCGGTGCTGCTGGGTATGGTTTGGCAGTCAGTGCTTGCTGTGTGCACTGGTTTGGCAGTCGGTGGACTGAGTTGTTTTGTCGGTGGAGGCTGTCGGCCTGTTCTTGCAGGCTGTGGGTGGCTGGGATTAGGGTTAGGGTTAGGGTTAGGCTCTGATATCAACTTGAGATAGATATAAGTGAAAGGGATACAAACTAAGTGTAGAGCCCCCGATATATAGTCAATTAGAGTTACAACAAGGACAAAAAAGTAAAAAGGAAAACTTAATAAAACCCTAATAAACTAGGCTGCTGCTATATCTCCAACAATCTCCCTTATGATTTTAACTAGGTGATAACATATGGGCACACCTACCATCATCCTACTTTATTAATTTGGTACAATCTAATTCTGTATTTTCATAAAAATGAAAGTACATTAACATATTGGATTGCGATTTGCGTACACAGGTTCCCTTGGCTGACGACCATCCAGCATGTCAGCTACACTTGCATCTGTAATGTTATGCCACCGATAGACAAGCAAGATGCCTAGAATCCTGTCACTGCTCCTAGAGTAGAAGAATTACTTTTGTCTGTATTTATTGCAAATATCCATTACCTCACAGGTTCATATATCTTTTTGAATTCATGGGGGCTTGGTGGCAAGTAATCTGAGACATAGTCAAGGTATCTTCCACGGCGATAAAAACTGGCACCTTTAATAACAGTTACCAAATCAAAAGCTTCTTCCTGTTACATATAAGAAAATTTACCATATAAATCAATCAGACATGTAGGAGGCCATTTCAAGCGATTTTTTCTCTTTAAATCCTAGAAAAATGTAATCTAAGGACATTAAGATAATCTATAGGTTACAGCCTATATCAGGCGACCAATACTACATTTGAATCCAAAGCTTTTCAATGTATACCTTATGACACCCGATGTTAGTTTCATAACTAACAGACAATTTAATGAGAGCCATGTAAAGGTCTATCTGATAGCATCAAACAGAGTAGCAAATCAGTTAGCTAACAAACATGGGCTTAATACTAGTAAAGTTTCAAAAGGTATATCTACCCACTTAACCTAGCATATTGTTATATATGATTAGTGTGCAGGCCTTGTCGGAATGTATTTTCATTTGGAAGGTATTCCATTTGCAGCTGCGAGACTTGTTCAACATTTTGAGAAAAGGCTAAGACTTGGGAGCATCAAATAAAACATCTCATCTGAAACTTTTGACATTATATTATGTATAATATTAAAAATCAGAGAGTCCCATGTCCTTGCTATTGGAAACTTTAATCCAATACAAATCACTACAAAATAGTAAGTTCCAAAAGGTTCATTTTAAGGTTGCAATTTATTTTTTAATAACATTCAATGTATCTCAAGGACAACAGTAAAATATCAGCTAAGCAAGTTGGTGGCAAACTGTGGCAGAAATCTTCTACCTCAATCATCCACAGACGAACACAGCAGCTAGCAAACAATGGAATGGTACACTAACACTCACATCATAAAATCTAGGGAAGCAAGTGCTCATCCAATGGCAGAAAATTTTGGAATGATATCCACTATGGTTATCTTTACAGATTGTGTTATCTTTTTTTCCTTTTTTTTTTTTGCATGGGCAAAGATCACAGGCTCCTATTATTGCAATAGGGTTTGGGGCCTGAAATGTCCTATGGCATAGATTGTGCACTTAAAACAATGATGAAAGACAAAGCATTTTTTTGAAGTGGGTTACTTGAAACAAAAGATGATTTTGGTTTTTTCTACAAACAATACCACTGGTAGACAAGGATTTGAAGTGTAGTTGGCACCACTTTGTTTGGATAATGCTTTAACAAGTTGAGTTGAGGATAAAAACTTAAGTTTGCCAACCTTTTGTCATCAACTTATCAAAAAGCCAGGTTAAACATTATTTGTAAAGCGTTGTGCCGTTTATTTGACTTGTTTGGTGTTTTTCTATGGGATGTCATTGATTTGTATAGTCAGACTCCTTGCTGTAGAACCATGAGAAAAAGTATCAATCTCGGTCAATATTCAATTGGCACATCAACAAGCGCATTAGTTTCATAAAGATTGCTCCTAGACAAATACACACACACACACACACACATATATATATATAGAGAGAGAGAGAGCATCCTACCAAGAAGAGGGCATGACCACTTTCATTAAATTTACGAATCTCACAATTTGGCAGCATTTTGCAAAGTCTTTCACCCTCGTCTTGACTTGGTAGTAACTGATCCCTCCCACTACAAAAACAAACCATAATAGAACCTGTCAATATGGAAAAAAGTTAATCACAATCACAAACATAACAAAATTCACAATGGTGTGTACTAATAAATGCTAAAGCAAGTTGCAAGAGAAGCAGCAAACACTAATACCATAGATATTGTCAATACCACATATAAAAATATTTTAATAGGCAAAAGGATACGATACCATAAAAAAACCATGGTATCATTATAAAATAAATTTTCATACAACAAAATGGATCTAAAAATCACTAAGCTAGGTTCTATAATGGATCATAATCCTAGGAGTTAACGTAAACAAAGCAATAATGTGACAAAAGGTCAACCCATTTTGATTTTTGATCCTTTATTGCAAACCCAATTGTAAGGTGCAATGTTACAGATCTATTTGAATAGAAACCATAATGGGAAAAAAAAATTAAGTGATCTTACAAATGTTAATTGAATTTTCTTAGGCATATTTTATCTCTATTTTATTACAGGAATACCAATGGTAACTAAGGAAAACACGCAATGCTTTGTGTATAGTTAGTGATTTTTCTGTTTCAAAAAAGGAGTTTCAACACCAAAAGTTAAGGTGATTCCCTATAAAGTTGATCAAAATGTAGAAATCAGGGGCATTCTCATGCTTATTTCTTCCGGTACGAAGACTTGACTACTAGAATCAGAGGGGCATGTGTTCATTAGGACGGATCCTCTCTCTTTCATCTTGCTTCTAACTGACTTGGAAGATCTCAAGCGTATATATGTTAATGAGTTCTTCATTTTCAGCCATGTCAAATTGATTAGTGACATCACTAACATATAAAGGATGGACTTTTAACATATTATTTCTTACAGGAAGATTTTACTTTAGCATTAGGCATGTGTTCATTACGACGAATCCTCTCTTTCATCTTGCTTCTAACTGACTTGGAATATCTCAACCGTATATATGTTAATGAGTTCTTCATTTTCAGCCATGTCAAATTGATTAGTGACATCACTAACATAGAAAGGATGGACTTTTAACATATTATTTCTTACAGGAAGATTTTACTTCAGCATTAGGTTAATCAAAACTACTCTTCCAAAATATATATAGTAAGAGGAGTTTTGCTCCTTAGCATACTGGAAAAGTTCCACAAATATGGGAGTGCTATTCATTAACTTATTAAATTCTCCTAATTTTCATTTCTCGAACACATAACTGGAATAGGAATAGCTGCAGATGTGAAGATGAGAACCTGGAAAGTAACAATGTCTGAGCTCTTATAGCATGGAGTCGTGAATTGGCATACGCAGAAGCTGATTTGAGCATTTTCAGCTTCCAGAGAAGCATTTCTACAGATAAACTATCGGTCAAAACCTGTGGATTTATCCATCAATTTCTTCCACAAATTTGATGATGTATGATAAGAAAATTACAATTACATGTACAAAGATAAAAGCACACCTACATTATGGTAAACACAAAACAACAATCTCTACGTGAGATCTACATGCTTTCATATTTAAAGTAGCATAGAAGTGTGCATTATAATCCTGTTAAGAACAGGAAATTTGAGTTCAGACAAATTTGGGAATAGACACTTCTTTTCTTGTATATACATGCTAGTCACCAAAAAAAGATGCCAAGTACAGCATCTTTGACATACTGAGCAACTACATAACATCTCTTACAGGTTTTTTAGCAGAAAAACGAAAAAAGGAGACAAGTCAAAATTTACACATCTTTTCGTGTTCCAGATTTAAATCTTACAGAAACGTAGGATGTCAATGCTATAACATTCTCCAATATCTCTCCAAGTGTTTGTTGCACAGGAAGTCCTTTCTCGACAGTCGTCATCACCATACTTGAAGGAATACCTAAAGATAACAATTGCTCATTCCATAAGGTCAATATCACATGCATGGTTGATATGTAGTGAAACAAGATGGGAAAATTTTTCACCTTAATGACTAGAAAAAAAACAATACTAATAATATCCGTTAACACAAGAAGGCATGCTCATTCAAAACCTGTCCTACAGATTAAAATGGCACGCTTCATAAAAAGGTGAGGATAAAGCCACAGGACAATGTAAGCAGCTCACAATGGCTAAGCTTAGCTTCTTAATGAGATTGAGGAGGCTTTTTCATCAGTCAACCCTCCTAAATCCAACCTTAAGTTTGAACTTGACTTCTAAAAAACCATAGCCAGAGCAATAGTAGACTCCAGCTGATAGGATGGTTATTAGTTGATATAGATTTTCTTTAGCAAAAAGGAAAAATAAAACAAAGCCAGTTTTACTTGGCATGTTTGAACTCTTAGAATGGAAACACAGTTTTCCTCCCTCATGGATATGTCAAAGGAAGAATAAGGGGCCAATGCATCCCATATTTTTCCAAAGACTCATTCTGATGTGCATGCATGCCTACAGTATATATACAAGTTGAGTATCATGCCCCATCCAAAGATAAACAGAAGTCCAGAATATAGAGACACAATAAGTGAAAACACTGACTGAAAGCACAACATAGTAAAGAACCTAGCAAAGCTAGAACAGATATTATGAGGCAGAGGGCAAGAAAACCTGTCATTAAACTCAACATATAAGGCATGCTAATACGGAGCTGCTCAGGCATGACTTCTAACAAGGGTAGTAAAGGATGCAGCTGGGACTTGCTGAAACATGTAGCTGCCAACAAAGAATTATGCAAAATCACTGTGTGAGTTAAGAAACTTTCCAATCAGCACAATACTTTCTTAAAGTCAAAATTCTCACCTGGATTAGCCAAAACTAATACAAGATCAATGTTAGGGTTATTGGCAGCAACAGCTAGTGCAAGGCATCCCCCAGTTGATTCTCCAACAAGATATATGGGTCTTTTTGGTGAACGTCGGTTCTCTGACCTAACTGTTTTTTCAACCAACTTCACCAGGCCTGTGTCATCAAGTGTTTTCAAACTAAATTAGAATCTTATTTACCCCAAAAATGAGGGCAAGAAAAACACACATGTGCATATGCTTGCGATGCTATGCCTATCAAATCTAGTGAAAACAATGAGCTAGACCTCTAATTTCAATCCATTGCCTAAGGTGCATTTTGGATGCCCCTGGAGTATGAGTTGCATTCACTCCACAAATCTCCCCATCTAAAATGGGGCAACTTAAAAAACTGAGATTTACATTTAATGAGCATGAGGAGTCGAAAAAGATGATGGATGCTTGGATTGGAATGATATATTATATGTTGGGGCATTAGTTTTCCATGGGACATCCAAATGCAACTGAAGTTTTTTAATCCACAAGAAGTCCTCTTCTATTCCATTAGACAATGAATAACTGAAGCACCACTTTGAAGGTCCGAACAAATATCAAAAATCCAGTGGCAAAGAGACAGGGCAGTGTTAATAGGGCAACTTTTCATAAAATCATTGTTGCTATCACATTGTGTACACACAGGCAGAGAAAGATACCTGTAAATGGTGTTTGGTCTGTAACGGGAATATGCAAGCACCATACATCAAAAATCCTTCATTTAAAAAAAAAAAGAGAAAAAGAATATTGATTAGGCACTGTAGTGAATCATATTAAACAGAGAAGCAAAAACATGCATAATGCAAAGATTCTACATTAGCACAGGGTTAGTGACATAATGGAAATAACAATGAAAATTCTATATTAAAGACAACATTCGGTATTGATAATTGATACTAAAGATATCTCGAAATTCCAAAAGTACTTACTCTCCAAGTCTTTGATGTTGCAAAATAAGTCCAAGTCCGACACCATCAATCCCTACCGAATTTAATGTTGGGAGAAAAGAACAGGAGAGAGAATATGAAGCAGGAAACATATAATAAGTAATTCCCGAATGTATTAATCCAATTACATATTTGTACGCAGTATATATGAATACGACATGCATACAATATAAATACACACACATACAGACATTAGAGATTTAGATAATAGTTCCCATGCTTGTTTCCAAGAACAAATAGCATAATATCTATCTATTAATTCGTTAGAGCGGAAAATAATATAATTCCAAAAGAACATTAAAATTTTCCAGCGGAACATATACAAAATCTTTATATATGCATTGAAAAAGAAACGGACCAGGTAAAAACAGCAAGAGCGGAGAGTTTTCCAAGCGAGACCCGCAGTCTAAAGGCGTAAACCAACGAGGCGGTCCACCGTCCGAAGATCTGACCAACTCTTTTGACTGTTCAAAGTAATCCTTTAAGCCCAAACGGTGTGACTCCGAATCAGATTCCGACTCAGCTTTGTGTTCCGTATTGGTCTCAGCTTTTGAGCTATTTACGAACCTCCCGTTAATGGAGACATTAGTTGGAGGCTGTTGCTCGGTTGACACAACTGGTCGCCGAGTCGTCGCCGATGCATACACCCGAACGGTTCGTTGCGGTCGGAATCCTCCCGTGACAAGCGATGTGTGGCGGATGTGAACCAGAGACAAACCGGCAGTGATAACGCCGGGGACGGTGGTCGTCATGAAATAAGAAATGTCTGTCTTGCTCTGACTTGTCTTTCAGGACAACCAGGTCTGCGACATTCCAAATTTGAAGGCCACACAGTTTGTTTGCTGTCACACGGAGAATGGTTATTCGATAAACCACAATTATTCACTAATTCGCTTATTTATTTTAAATAACAGTTAATGAAGCCACAGATTTAGTGCTCCCCCCCCCCCCCCCCCCCGGGGGGGGGGGG